TGATTATTGATGATTTTTAAGTCCACAATTAAGTCAAAAATACCTTTTAAGTCAAAATATTCTTTACTTCATCTTACTGACCTCCCTGAAAAAAGAATTCTTCTGCAGTAAAGTTTGATCCCCATGAGTATGTGTATTATTTAAATGACCAGTAGATTTTGAGTGATGCTGAGTATTTCTGGTGAACTTGTAGATGCACAAGTATGTAGGCTCTCCAAGTTGTTCCAAGGGAAATAAAAAGAAAAAAAAAACACTGTGTGTAACAAAACAGCACATATTTCCTTAGTGAGAGATGACCAGCTTTCAATGTGGTATAAAAAGACTGATAAGAAATTATAGCACTTATATCACTAAGGTTTTTTGGTTTCGTTTTTCAAAAAATCAAATAATTTGGCCAAGAAAAAGCACAGGACGTCTCTGGTACGTTCATGGAGATGAATGGGTAATTATGTTCTTGTTCAGTCAACACCTGCACCACTGATGCAGTAATTACTGTGAAATCCCACAGTTTATTTTACGAAGTAAGTCAGAAGGTGATCCCATATCCTTCGTGTCCTTCATGTCAGTGTGAGTTGGGGTAACATTACTGCAGCACAGCTGTTCTTATTTCTTTGTTTGTCCTTTTCTCTACAGCTGGGCAAAACATATTGCAGAGAAGAACGGTTACTTAGGTCACGTCATCAGAAAAGCACTCAATGCTTATCTGGAACTCTCATGGTATGTTTGTTCTGTTCTCTTCAAGTTCATGTTCCATCTTTTTATTACTTGATAGCATGATAAAACAATTAACATTGGGCCATCACCTCAAAAAAAATACTAGTAGCACCACTGAAATCTGTGTCAAAACACTTATTGACATACAGGGAAGCAGGAGTTGACCTGAACTGTAATTCAACCGTTTTGACAGGATCAAAAGAGAAAAAGAGAGAGAGTTTGTGGAGTGAAATAGTGTTGCATCTAGAGCCCACAAACTCACATTACAAGTGGCTGTATATAAATAAGTGGAGCAAACAATGGGAGGGCCCTTGTATGCAGGTTGTAAAGGAAGGTATTGATCATCCCAAGGAGTATAGATAAAAAAGTTAAGGCAAACTAAACCAGTGTGTAAATAAAATGCTCCTATTAGTTAAGCTCACTATGTTCTTGGAGATTTTTCCAGTCTTGTTTTTAAAGGTAACAGTCTCCTCAAGGGATATCTAGAAATAGGCATACTCTTCGGATTCTAGTATGGCGTAGAGTTTCTGCACTAGACTGTGTGCAGGAAACAGCAGGGCCAGTCATTTTTTTTTTGTCTTCTGCTATCTGTGCTTTTCATCTGGTAGTACTCCTGTATGTAATGGGCACTGGATTAGCCAGAGTAATGCCTTTCACTTCTTTTTTTTCACTCTGTCCCTAAAAAAAACACACATTTTCTCTCTTCTATATAATTTTTTGTTTTGCACAGTAGACTCTGTGGTTTATTAGAAAATTTCCTTTCCCACGTGTGTGACCCAGGTACTTCTGGCAAGGCCCACACCATTTTGAAATTCAGGAGAGTTTCTGAAACTACATTATTGAGCAAGTGCATGCTGCCTCAGGATGATGCAGGCAATAGTTGCTTTTGCACTGGGGCCTTTCTGGGCTTGATAAGAAACAGTCTGAGGGAAAACCCAAACAATGAAACCATAATGTTTTACTTCACGTTTTAATTTTCATGTGACTTTTTAGCTAGCAAACAGGAACATAAGCCTCAAGGCAGTGAGAAGTAACAATGCAGTGCAAGGAGTAGTGATGCATAATGCTGAGATAAGACGTGCCTTGTCAGTGTTCATCAAGTTAGCCATAGTCTCTAGTAGTAGGCAAGGCATTTTACAAGTGAATTCACCATGGACTCAGCTGTCCTAGTGACCTGTAGGCATAAGCACCAGATACTGTACATGCAGGCATCAGACTGTAGAAGCTGTGATGCGATTAAGACAACAGCCTTTTTAGCCATGCAGGCTGCCCCTGCTAGCACTTAATTAATGCTTTGGACCTAGAGGATCTTAAAGAAACAGTGGACTGTTTCGAAGTAACCTGTTCCTGGCAGAAATTATTTTTATTTTTGGTCCATCACAGGCTCTCCTGAGAACTGACCTCACTTTTCAGCACTGAAAAAATCTCAAGTTACCATTTTCTGTACAGGTTCTGATGTACAACCTGTGACTTTACCCAGTTCACCCTGAGTACAGTCCCAAGAAAGTCATATGCACTTCACAGGGCATTCAGATCCCAAAAGGTAGGGCATTAAGTTCCCAAAAGGTCTGGTATCAGCAGGTTGGAGGAAGAATCTGCTAGACACCTGCTTTAGGTGCCAGAGACTGGACGTGTATGGGGCAGTCACTTAAAAACACTGGTCTGGTGGTCATCTTTCTTTTCAACATGAACACACTTCTAAATAAATCTTTGCCTCTGAATATTTGTTCATGTATCTTGCACAGTTGTGCATTGTTACACTGCCAAGCAGACCAAATAATACCTGTTCCTCAGTTACTGCTGTTAGCTGCTGCATGTCAAACACATCTATGAGAGTCGAGGTTGTTTGATCTTCAGAGACTAATTCAGAGATCTTAAATGTAGTTTCTTTTCTGAATTGTCCTTTGAGATGTAAGGATCAGAATTAATTGCCCAGCTTAGGTATTCTGGATTCCTTCTTTGGTGCCAGGCTCCCATTATCCCAGATGGCTTTACAGGACAAGTACTAAGGAAGAATTCATAATCTTGCAAAAGCAGTTTGGAAACAGGAGGTTGCACCTGCTTATTCTTTAGGGGCAACTGCTTTCACAGTTTTGTTTAAAGTTTCTTCACTTAAGCACCTACTCCTGAAGTCAAATGTTAGGTAACTGTGTTTGCTTCCAGTTACGCCAACGAACCCTGAAACCTGCCATAGTTTTAGCTTTATGCTGTGGAGAAAGTCACTGGAAACATGACCCTTCAGTAGGAAGTCTAATAGGAAAAAGGTGCACAAAGTAGTACATAAAGTAGCAGGAAAAAGGCTTTTTATTTTGAAACTGCTTTTTTTCTGAAAGTGTAGTCTTCACACTATTGAGTAGATGAGGTACAGAGAACATTAGAGAGATATGAAAGAGATGATGTCCTCTGGAATCATGGGCACTGCTGTCGTGTTGTACTGCTGCACTGAAATGCTGCATTGCAAATGCAAAATTATCTTTTATTACTAGCTTTACAGTAAATGAAATGCCTAATGTTCATAGAGGGACTGAGACTGTTCTCTTACATGTTCAAGTATGGGAGAGAACTTCTGTTCCAAAAAGTCTAAAAGTCTGTCTAAAAAGACAGAACAACAGAGTCACATAAATAAATGGGCAAAAGATAAAGTGTACCAAAGATATACTCAGATGAATTTTTGACAGATATGAATACAAGTATGTTAATAATAGATTTATTTTTTTTAATCACAGAGGGAAAGAATCTTTTAAGAATGTGTTTTTTTCCAAAACATTCAAAAAGTTAATTCAGTTTAATGTCAGTACAGCTTTATCATCAATCTTTCATCTCAAAAGAGTAAATGCACACTGGAGCCAGTCTAGTTTCAATGCAAGAGATAAAACAATTCTTGAGATCCAGCAATGCTTGTTACACCAAGTGCTGACAGTAGATGTAGCTGTTGCATGAGTTCACCAGCCTCTTGTTTTTAAGCCTCATACCCAATTTTGCTCCTAGGTGATTTTATCAGTTTAGGTATTAACTAAATATAACTGAAACACTTGTGATTTTGTTAGGTTTTTCACTAATCTGTTTTATCAAACATTAGGCATGAAGCTCTGCTACATTATGTTCTAGCAGCTGAAACTGGGATTGAAGTGTCACAGTCAAATTTAGCACACCTCTGTGAAGAAAGACCAGTAAGTAAATGTATTCACATCTCATTACCCTAAAAGGAACACCCATTAGTAATAACATTATCCTAATATCTCCTGTGTGTTATAAATGGATGAATTCATTTTCTTTCCAGGAACTAGCAAGAAAATACCTAGCAACTGATTGTGTTTGGAGATACTACAATTTCTCTGCGTCTCAAATCAATGCACCCTCATTTGGTATGTATAAGGAATTCTTTCTGATTTTTTTAATTTTATTTCAAAAACTACATCCGTTGCAACTTCTGTGTGAGTAAGCAAGTTAAGGGAAGAGTAATCCGTGCTTACAGACTTCTTTTTCAGTGTTTTGATAGGAATATTAGAAAGTAAGTGTTTTAAGTGTTGTATTTCAGCACAATTTTTCAGAGAATTTTCCTTTTGTGGGATAAAATGTAAAAAGAAGAAAAAAAAAGCTAAGCTTAGAGCAGGCCAGACCTTTAAGAGCCTGAGCAATTGACTCAACATGTAAGAAAAAAAAAAAAAGTAGCAGTAGACTTTAAGAGCTCATGCTGTTCAGTTTATCAAAGAGAAAATCCAAAAGCTAATACACTTCCATATCATAATTGAGTCATGAGAAATGAATGGAGGCTAAAGGATTCTTTATCTAATTTATGATGAGTTTTCTATTAGGGTACAGAGTTTATCAACATAGGCACAGATTACCATGGGGGAACTGAAGGATTCTCTGTCTCTGTAAAACAAAAGGTATCCCTTTCTGGAAGAGAAGGTTTATTCATGTATAAGATAAATTCCTCTGGTCTTAAATTTTAATACATCAGAGACTTTATTGAGTAAGTCATTCTGGTGTCTTGTAAAGAGTTTTTAAGTACTTCCATACATTCATCTGATTGTCTCACAAGAAAGTTTAAGTGCTTTGTAATAAGCACATGAAAAAGTGCAGTCTAAAAATAATACAAGCTATTTAAATATGTAGCAGCATTGGAGCTAAACACCATGTTGACAGAGTCTAAAGCCACAGGAACTGACAGACCCTGTTTGTTGGAGTTTGTTGATGCTTTAGCAAGGTGCAGTTTTGACTTTATAGATAGGTGAAATCTTATATTAGAGAAGCTTCTGAAGTTCAGACTCCTGGGGTGAGACTGTGATTCCATTGAAGGAAAGGAGAGAAGACTTGTTGACTTTATCAAAGGAAGAACTTTATTACTTTTTTCACATGGGTAACATAAGGAGGGAATTTTATCTGAGGCCTCTTTCTGCAGTAGCAGAGGATTGAATCCCCAGTGTAGGTCTTGGGGCTGAGAAAGTCTAACCCAAGCAGCAGAGATTCCCAGGGCTTACAGCGTCAGTGCAGTGCAGGATAACTTCAAGGCCAGTGCTTATTGCTGGAGCGTTCTTAAAACGAGGCTGGAATGACGTGGCTGATACAGTCAAGAGGAGATCTCCTCGTTATGATTCACTGCAGTGTTCGTGACCTACCACTCTGCGTCTGTGGCAGCCACTCCATGGTAGTCTTTCTGCCTTTGCTGTTGGGACTGACTTGCTTCCTGGAAAACCTCTGCTATAATGCCACCAGTTTTTACAGTGGACTTCCAGATAACTGCAAGACACACAAAGCAAGGTTTAGAAGTATTTCTAAACCATTTTGGCACAGCTTAGCATGGAAATTTATAAATTCTTTAGTATAGGTTAGTGCAGTGAGCCAATGCTGTAGTCTTTTGCAGCATTTCAGTACTTTGCAGTATGAGAGAAAGATATTTGTAAAGTATTTGCTGGGCATTGCTTCCTTCTAGACCGGGAAAACTCTACCCTTACAGTTGTCCTGGGTGGGTTTTGATCTGAAACTAAGGACATTATCAGCAGCAAACCTCTGTAACTTTTGGGGTGTGTTCAACTACCAAAGAGACAGGCACATGACAAGCTCTTGAGCAGCATGTTGTAAGACTTATCAAGTTAGTAAGGCTAACCTGAATAATAAGGCTACAGGTTGCCTGAAGACAGAATCAGCAAGTGAAGAGGGAATTCAGTGTGAAGTCTCTAAGTCTGTTTTTGTAAAAGTAGCAAAATCATTCACTGTATTAATTTATTAAAGAGCAATCATGAGAAATTTCAGCCAGAATAAATATTTTCAGTAGTCATTCAAACGTGAAGCAGTCATAGAGACAATCAGAGAGAAAGATACACTGCTTTAAATAGAAATATTATTAAATTCTCCACCACATTTCTGGTTATTTGATTCTCTCTCTACAAATGCTTTAAATGACGTGCTACTGGTTTCTTCCACAGCTTATTTGAAGATGGGAGATTTCTACTACTACGGGTACCAGAACCAGTCTAAAGACCTTGAGCTGTCAGTGCGGATGTACGCACAAGCTGCGTTAGAGGGAGATTCGCAGGTAGGTCTGCACTTGTAATGTGTTAATAAAACACATTACAGAGTTTAGAACAATCTGAAGATTCACCTGAGAGCAGTTATTCTGTTTGGCTACATCTGTGCACTGAATAGACTTGCCTGAATAAGTTAAAATTATTTCAAGATACCTAGGGAGTCAGAAGGTAGACCTAGAACAGAAGGACAGTCCTAGGGCTAAGGTGTCTTGAAAGTTTAAGGTGAAGAGATTAACTCAGTGCTGCCATACCTTGATGGATTTGATTCTGTTGTGACCTTCATATTTTTTGTTACTGCAAGGGGAAGTGTTAATAGACTGCCTGAGTTTTCTTCCAATTCTATCCATTGCTATTTTTAGGAATTGTTATTTTAAACCAGAAGAGTAGTCTATTTTCATGATCATATTGAGTGTATCCTAGGGTGAATTTTGGTCACTCCACCAACAGAAGTTCCCAACTTAAAATGTTTTATAGTGAAAAGATATGCCACGTTACGTTACCAAAGACATGCAGCATTTCAATGCCCTGTTCTACCTTCACATCCTTCTGAAATATCCGAGATGCAATCTTCTGGTCACCCTGTACCTCTGACAACGTTTCCAGATAATATCTTGTGTGTGAATTTATCAGAGGTAGTGTAGTTCTGATATGTTTTGAGGATATTAGGACAAAGCATGGCTGATGAACTAGCAAAGGAAAGATGATATGCTTGAACAGTTATTTTAAAGTATGCAAGCCAGACTGATGGGGAATCCTGCAATACATCTCCTCTGTGTTCATCTTCATGGCTCTGAAGAGACATATTGATGCTTAAGACTATCCCAAGTAGGCAAAAGTCTAAGACTAAGGATTTAAATTTCTTGGAGCAAATTTCTGCTCTCAGTTTCACTGTTCTGATTTCTGTTGATCTAGGTAGAGTTAGAGGGGAGTTAAATGGCAACAGAACAGGTATTTATTCCTGCTTTCAGTCTATATTTCTGTGGTAGATAAAACATTACGGTTTGATTTTTGTGAGCAAGTAAAAGTGAGAAAGCTCAGATCTTTTAAATAATTTCTCAGAAAACTGTCGCAACAAATGAATGTTGTTCTTTCACATCTTTCTGGGCTTAGCTGGGTACATGATTAGGAGGGAAGGCTCTCATTATTCAGTGAAGATCATGTTACACTAAGTTAATGTATAGAAGACAGTTATAATAATTTAGATACTTGATGCTTATATTATACCTTAAATACACATATGAAAAAATTACTAAAACATGTATATGCTTTTTTATTATTAGGGTTTCTTTAATTTGGCCCTTCTGATAGAAGAGGGCAACTCCATACCTTCCTACATTCTGGATCACTTGGAAATTGATCAGGCATTGCATTCTGGTAACGCTTCACTTCTTCAGGAGCTTTATTATAGGTGAGTCTTTGTCTTTAGCAATCAGCATCTTCTGTTTTTCCCTGAGTAGCATTTACTTTTGAGAACAGCATCTCCTGTAATGATTAACTTTGTTCTCTGGTATGATTTAAGGCAGGTTAAGGTCAACATGCTTGAAATGCTTTAACTGCCTAAATATACTGTTATGAGAGACTTGATTGTGTGTGGTTACCTGAAACAGCAGGGACTGGATTTAATGATCCAGGAGGCCTTTTCCTATTCTGTGTATTTAAATTCATTAGGTAGGCACTGACAATTTGTATGCTGTCCAAACCAATTTTTAAGGATAATTATAGCATAATTTAATATGGAATGTAAAAGCGTGTAACTGGGATAATAGCAGTCCTTCCTATTGTTTCTGCAAAGATGTTCCAGTGTATCTGTGCCGCAGAGCATCCTGGCACAGAATATTACATGTGAGAATGTTACGGATCTGCTGTCTGAACTGCAGCGCAAATACTTTGTGTGCAGAAGTCAGCTGCAGAACTCTGGTTTTGTTTACCTAAGAGATCTCTTTACCTAAGAGAACTTAGGGTTCCTTGCCTAGATGAAGTAACATGTTAGAAAAGCACAGTGGGAATGGAAAGTTTACAGAATATTCGGTGGATTCGTGGAACTGCCTTTCAGATTTTTAAGGAAGGAGAACCTAATAGTTAATACATATCTGTGAACAAGGAATAAGTGGTGTTATTTCTGTTTTGCCACTGAGAGTTGTTAACACAACAAAAGAGTGGAGATGGCATTGAGGCCTCGCTTGTTGATTCATCAGCAATCCACCAAAATTGTTACTCACTGCAGCTAGTCTGAACTTGCTCCCTAAATTACCTCCAATCCACATAAAATTACCATTTAGCTAAATAGGGCTTCCTGGGATTGTAAGCTTGAACCTGAATTTTGCCTTCACTGAACCCAGCTGCTTTGCAGTGAGAATAAAATCCAGAGTGGACAGCGCCACAGCAACTTCCCATCATCCTACATCATGCACCCCTGCTCAGCTTGGTTACAAAAAAAAAAATCAATTCAAGCTTATGGTATTTGTGATTTAGCTCTTTGAACTCTCCTAGTTGGCGAAGTCCTACCTCATGGAAAGCAGCTCAGCTTACCCCGCAACAGACACCTAGCAGCTAGTCAGCTAAAGCACTCTGAGTGCTGAGGGCATTATATAGTACTTAATTGTCTCTGATGGGGTGTTTGGCACCAATCTGCTGCATAGACAGCTGAATTTTGTAGGCTTAATCTTGATACAAGTGCTACTGCTGTTGATTTCAGTTGACTCATACGAGTCAGAGCAAAGTATCTCGGATATGAGGTTGTATTGTGATTGCTTGACAAGGGTAGCCTGGATTCTAGCCAGGGGTTCCTAGGGTAGCTAGTTGTTGACTCATCAGAAAACAAAAATATGCTCCTAGGGTAAAGTATTCTGTGCTTAATGAGATTAATCTGATATTTCTATGAGTTTTTACTGTGATAGTGATAATAGTATCTGCTTGTTTTCCCTGTGCTAATGCAAACACACTAGAGATTCCCAGATGACAGGTGCCACAAAATTGCAAAGTAGGACTAATTAGTTGTTTTAATCTTTTTTGGTTGTAGGTGCTGGAATCATAGTAACCAAGAATCAATTAGTCCGTGCTCAATAGCATTGCTTTATTTTTACATGAGAGTTTTCTGGAATGCTATTTTACAGTCTACGCTGGTATGTATTGTTCCTTTGGTACATGTGCTAGTTCATTTGTAGCAATACTGCACCTTTGCATGGATCTAACATATTTTTAAACTTCCTGCCACAGATATACTTCATGGGAACCTTTCTTTTATCAATTCTGATTGCGTTTGCAGTGCACTATTTTCAGACTCTATCTGGTAAGTATTTGTCACAGTAAAACTGAAGAAGTGGTATTGAATGGTAATGAAGCAATGTTGTACTCTGTCCAGTAAGAACTTTAAAGAAAAACATTCTAGATTTGGTAGAAGTCCCGATGGAGAGCAAGGTCTTTGTCATGCAAGTCATTCTTTGATGAAAAGAAGTGCATGAAGTGAGTGAGGCACAGATGGCTGGTTTAAGCTTGTCAGTTTCTGGAGAATTTCCCTTGATAAATCCCTTGCTTCTTTATAAAAGCACTGACTGTAGGAGACTATATGGAAACTAATTATATGACTATATGATTTCATACATTGTCACTTTAATATGTGATGAGACTGCATGCCATGTTATGTATGATTGGATTCATTCAGATACAAGGAAGTAAAAGTGAGGTTCAGAGAGCTAGTATGCTGGAGTAACTTAGGAACAGGCACTGCCTCTTCAGACCAGTGGAAGAATCAGTACATACTTAGAATCAGCAACTGCAGATTCCTCCTGTCCAGAACTAAAGAGTTAGCTGTATGTTCTCTTTTCTGATGGGACACTAGTGTTTAAGAGACAGAAAACTAAATGTCAGGCTTCAGTCTGTTAAAACTCCATTTTCTTTCTCACCACATTGAAGATGTCAAAGACAAAACAGCATTGCTAAGGAAAGGGGAAAAAAAGTCACATGCAAAAACAATGAATCATCATTTAAAAAGCATTGCCAGCTTCAGGCAAGTATTTTCCTTTAAATCACAAGACAGGATCTTGATCATTAAGTTGTGAAATAAACATTACCTGTTATGAAAAGATTTTCTTCCACTAAGTTTATTTTCTTTAGAAGAAGAAAAAACTGTTTTCTGACATACTTCTGTAAAATGTAGAAAAAAGTCAGTTTCCAAGTTGTCTCCTACACTGAAAGGGAAAAGGATTTAAAAAATAATCCTATCTGTAAACATTAAATATAAAAAGATTATTTGAATTTCCTAGTTAATAGACACCATTTAGGACATAGGCTGACTATGGAAATAACTTTGAAACCTTGTTTTCTTTTCTTACTAGCTATGTAATTCTCAAGTTACATCAATTAATGTGTATGTATGAAGGGCAAAGTTAAAGTTACAGATACTCTTCTTTTGATATTTCCTAACCTTTGAGTATTTTATTTATATTGCAACTTTATATCCATATAATATTTAAAAATATGGAAATTGACATCTTGGGTGTATTGAGGATTTTAAATATTTTATTTTGGCATTTTTCTGTAGCTAGTAATTCTCTTGGAACAAGATCAGAACCATCATCAGATGAGCCTTCTTCCTCAGGGAACAGCAATGAAGATGCTACACAGCCAGCACAGCAAGATGAATCTACTTTATCAAATGACTCAGCAGAGCAGGAGTTAAACCCTCAGAATCCTCTTGTTACCAGCTGAGGTGTAGTTTTCTGTAGGTTGATGTCCTACCAGGATGATGGGATATGAACTACAAGTGTAAGAACTGGCAACCAACCCGATTAATGGCATTAATAATGCAGCCCAGCAGCCAAAATCCACTGGACTAATTTCTCTACTGTAACTTAAAAAAAAACACCCCATAATAACTTAAACACTCCAGTCCAAACAGAGAATACAGCTTATCTCACTATACCCAACACATGATCATAGTGTATTATATTGAAGAATTACAAGAACACAGGCACACTCTTTACCTACTTGAAAAATGAGCAAAACTCCCATTGGTTTTGATGAAGAAAATACCTTACTGAGATGTCTAATAACTTATTAGGTGGCCTTTAATGCATTTGAACTTACCTTACTGGTGCAATTACCAGTTTTCTGAGTTGGAAGCATGGAAATGGTATAAAAGTGAAACCCAGCCGCCTAGTTCCACTTTCCAAATTCCGTGGAACACCAGCCAGGACTTTGGTACATACAGTGATAGCAATTACTTTGACATCTTACATTCCATCCTAGCTCTTTTTTGCAGAAAGCATTTTCTTTTGAAACAAAAATATGGGAAGATTTGCAATATGATCATAACATAGTAGTCCTATTGGCTGACTCTTGAAATGTCAGTTTCAGTGTCAGCATTTTCCTGAGGATACAAATAAAGTTTCTCCCACCCCATCCAAGAGCCACTGCTTAGAGAAAGAGTCCTTATTAGATAAATAAAATAATATTTAAATGTGACCAGGTGACATGAAGTGAGTGAACAATTTGTTTTAATTTCTTACATAGGTAGCACTCAAAAGGATTTCTTTCATATTCTACCATACCTTTTCAACACATGTGTTTAAATGACAATTTATTTGATAAACATTAGATGGGATAATAAATATAGAGTGCAAATGTCTGTGTGATTTAAGGCTGTGAGGTAAGTGGCTGTAGGAGAGGTCTGACCTTTAAAGCAGGTGTGTATGCAGCTCTGCAAAATTATTTAGATCACAGTCTATCAACTGCATCAATCTATGCATTATTATTGAGGGTTAAATCCACTCTCCTTGCACTACATTATTTACTCTTGTAAATAAAAATATTTTTCTAATTCAGCCTAAATGTGAAGGAATTTTTTTAAAGCACCTTTCAGGTGAGAGTCTCTTATAGTATCTTACCATTGCAGATTTTGAGGAACATGATCTAGGTGCCTGCTTTCTTCACTTCAAATGGAGCAATCAACCACTACTTTCTTCGAAGAACACAGCATTCTCACAGAACAGACCTGGAGGTTATTTCGGCAGTCAAAAAGTAGCAGTTTTCAATAGGAAGGGAATGAGTTAAATGGGAGAAAAATGCAAAAAGAGATTGAGTTATATAAAAGAGTTACACGTCAGCATATATTTCTTCTCTAGAGAACTAAAAATTCCAAAGTATTCTGAGTTCCAGCTTCAAGCCAAGTATTGTAATTATACCAATTTTTTTTACACAGGCATACAGATATTTTAAGAATTCTCCCAACTTCACATTAGTCACCTAATAAAAGAAAACATTGTGCATTTGTAATAAAACTGGGTAGGGTGAAATCGTGATCCCAAAGCTCTTGCAAAAAGTATAGCCTCTGAAAACAAGTAATTGTCACAAAATAGGCATGAAGTTATGTACCAAATGTCACATCTAGTTAAAGTGGTCACACAAAAAAATATTATTTGAACACGCACGTGGCAAGCCATACCATGTAGTAAGCTGTGCGTAAAATATTTTATTACATATGCTATAGTCACAAAAGCAGCTGTCCCTAAGGGAAAAAAATTTTAATGCCATAGTAAAATATTAATCCCATGGAAGCTCATTAATGGTGGTATGATTGGAACCCCTCCGCTGAAATCACAGAGGTCGTTGAGTTCCTGAATTCCAGGTTGTGTCGATATATAAATAGGCATTAGCAATTGGCCTGACCACATTGTCCTTTCCAAAGTCTGTTCGTGCTTTCAGCTTTATTAGTGAACTGACTTGAGGAGGCTTGCCAGAAGCGTAATTTCACATCTATATTTCAGAAGGCAATTGATAAAACTACCCTATATTTCTTGACGCCAGCAGTTATTAATCATGTCTTTGTTTATTGTAACCATTACAGCCAATTCCTATCAAAGAACATTTAACACGAAAATACGTTAACGATAAAGTGGTACCACTTAAGGCTGAAGTAATAATAAATTACCCTTCACAGGGTACCCTTTACAGAAGGCTATTATTTGACAACCTAGAGAATTATATAATTCCCAGGGAGAAGGAAAGGATGGTTAGTTAAAGCAGTGACATAATTCTATGACATCTGCAAGAAAACACAAAAAGAAGTTGTTTCAACTTAAACCAAAATTTTGATAGAACAAGACCACTGCAGTTTATAGTTCTTGAGCACATATTGAGTTGTCAGGATGGGAGAGAGAAATATTTAAAGAAAGTCAGAAGCATAGGACTCTAGAACTGGAATTCTGCATGCTCATACACGTTTTATAGAAGCCCAGCCAGCTCAACAGCACAGCCTAGAAATAAAGGGTTTGCAAAACAGGTGTTGCTTAAGGTAGTGTAAGTGATGTATGTTTTCCCTTTTTTGTCTTGGTTCAAGCTTAGAATTATCTTAAACAAGTAAGTTACAGACATCAAATAATTCTAGAGTCCTTATTTACAGAGTAAGTGCTGAATTATATAAAGTTAATGTACAGTTTGTACCAACTAAGTAAACTTATGTGTTACTGCAAGTGACAAAGACTAGAAGTTCCTATGCACAATGTATCAAAATGCTACAATAAAAAAATACCGCTGAGAATTAAATACCAGTTACAGACAGGGAACATGAGTACGTGAAGGTAAATTTCAAAAATAAAGTCAGCATTGAGTAGTTCTAAGTGGGGAACAGCTTAAGGATCATGTAGTAGGTGTTTCAAATTGGTTATGCAAAACTTGCAGAAACTGAAGTTGGAATTACGTACCAAGGTAGTAGCAGGACAGAAGTGACTGCAGGCATCCTTACGTGGGTGATTCTGTGACCATTGCATGATGCTGTTTCCCACTCTGTGCAGTGATGAACATTACACCCTAATATACAGACATAATAAGCATGTGCTTACAGCTGCATATACACATGCACACACACACACATATATATACACTAGTCCTGGTACTTGGAGTGTGCATTGCAAGTACATCTCCTGCTGGAACTATAGCTTTTCCATCTGAGCTATGAGGAAGGCTCAAAGCTTTGGGAAATACCCGTTATGAGATTTGTTTTCATACCCAATTCTTTTCTGTATAATGTGTCCCCTTTGACTAATGGACTATGGCTTTTAGCACCGGGTGACTGTTGGCCCTTATCTTGGATGAAGTGCAGTACAGAGATATGAAACAGGTTCAATAAGCTTTGGCTGAGGAATTTCCTCCCCACATCCTTTTCTCCCTGCCATAAACATATGAACTGAATTAAAAGACTGGGCCATAGAGAATAGAAGTGAAAGAGACAAGATGGTATTTTGAAGAACAAGCCCAAGTGCAAGGAAGCTAAGGAATGATGAGGCAACTCCAGGCACAGAGCAATTTCCCTTTCATCACTCCTAAGACATAGGTGAGAGAAGCAATGTCTGAATAACTGAAATAACACAGTAAACAAAGAAAAAGCAGACACTGGCATATAGACATGCTAGAAACACATCACAGCTTCCATTTTTTAGGAAACTAAATTTCCTAATAAATTTCCTAAGCTATTTAGGAACTAAATCCTGTGCCAGAAGGCCAAATTGTTATTTACAGTAAAAAATGTCCAAGTCCATGCCTAAATACATCTCTCTTATAAACAGTTGCATATGGGTTGTTCATGCAGGTGAGAATCAGAAGAAAAAAAAAAAAAAAGAAAAGAGAGTAATGAGTAACCCAAATGGGAAGGAAGAGATAAGTTACGTAACTGCAGAACTGCAGTCCATGCAGTTTATGCATACATAACCAAGCATTAGACAACATGTGTTTGCAAAGAGCTTGCTACAGATTAGATATTCTCAAGCAGTGAGATTCCAAACAAATTGCCACAGTGCTTATGTGCCCCTTGGCTTATAGGACTTGGGTTGCTTGGTAAATGCCATCAGATACTCACCTACCTTTCAGGTCTTAATAACCCTTCAGAAGAAAGCTGGTTGCGGCAGGTTGTTTTGTAACTTGGTCATCAGTGATCGTTCCTCTCGTCTAACATGCCCACTGACCTTGACTCTGTCCCCTGTTCTCATCACCTGATTCTTGGTTTTCTCCCTTGTTTGTCCCTGTTGACGTCTCTTTGATCACTCACCAACCTTCCAGATAGCTCCTAGCATTGCTGTTTGTTCCTATCAGTTCTGCCTGGTGAACGGAAAAAAGCACAACCTGACAACCTGGCTAGCAGGGCCTAGCACCGTTTTATAGGCAGTTTGACAGAGCAGAAACTGAGAAACCTACATGGCTTTTTCCTTCTGTTCATTATGGCATGGCCTTGAGTCATGGATTTACACAGCAAGTGTCTCTAATTTGCTTCTAAACTTGCACAATCTCCAGCTAAATTCCTACTACTAAGCTAATGAAGGCCAGGCTCCACTCACTGCCTGTCCGTGAGAGGACGCGGTAAAGCGTGGCCATGGTCAAACTCCTTCTCTGAATATGGGTGCCTCATGAGCTGTGTGTTGGGGGCAGCCCTGGTCCATAGAACCCCCTGAGCTGTGTCCCAACACTGTTGAGTGGGATAAGACTCGAACAGGCTAAGCTGGGGAGCACAAAGCTGGACAGCACAGATGTCTGTGAGAGTCCTCACCACACACATCCTTAGGCCTTGCTCAGATTAACTGGGCAGATGAACTGCTGGTTGCCTGCTGGCCTCTGCTGTGTGCTGCCAGGCCCTGTTCCTCCCCCACCCTCCCAGTACCTATTACTGTAAGGTTAGAACTGATTTCTGTGATTCACCAACCCATTTATCAATTCGTGCCTCCCAGCAGTCCCAGCATGTTCAGAGCCGTCGTGAAGACTTGTTTTCATGCGAGAGGTGTTTGTAGACAACAAGACAGCCTTTCCAAAATGCACTGCAGCTGACTTGCTGATTATGACAAGTCAGAGCTTCCACTCACACTTTGCCTCATTCCAGGAAGTTCACAGCCCTGTTTTCCCCTTCTGCTCTGCAGTTGGTTGGTAGCAAGAATACTGTCCCTGCCATCCCTGCCCCACACCAACTCCACGTGCGGTCCATGCCAAGGTCTGGGGGCTCACATCTGCTCCTTAACTTGCATTGCTCCTCCAAGCCAGCTCCAGCTGAACATGAGCAGCTCTTCCAGTTTAATTTTTAAGTCAACCACAGCACACTACTCTTAGAAGAGAGAGTTAACCATATCAACCTTGTTGGTAACAATACCAGTATGAGAAACCCAGAGACATCTGCTCTAGTGACAATAACCTAAAGCTTCTACATACTCCACAATTTGTCATATTTATTTAATCAGAAGTCTTTCCTCTAGATTTATTTATTTTTTTAATATTTACTGTGTCTGGTCCCAAACAATAATAAATTGAATGTTAAAACCACAACCAACCTCCATAAGCACCAGTAGGCCAGTATTTAGAAGTTTATGTACGGACCTGAAAAGCTTCAATAATACAGAGACATGAACCCAAATATTCCATGGCCTGAATGAACTCTGGCCAAGTTCTTCAGATACCCATCTCAGACTAACGGATTCAGAACTGCTCACTGATACACATTATAAGCACATACATGTCCTTAGAGAGACTGAAACCCACAGCAGAAGTGGCAGCCAGGCAGATACCCATGGCAAGTGCAGACACCACCTCAGAGGGCCCAGAGGCGGTCTGGCAGCAGCACTGCCGTGCAGCCCATTTCTCAGCTCTCCTAAGGCAAGCTCTTTTGCCAGGCACAGCAAATACAACCTCTGTGCCTTTCCATCAGCAAAGGAAATAAAAACATCGTTTTCGTACCTGACATATCCAGAAGTATGCAGGAGGCCCCTGGTGCTCAGATACCAAGGAAAAGCATTGTGACAGACTCGGCAGCTCTCTGATATTGATGCTGATATCAGAGACAGAAAACAACTTGTACAGCATTTTGAGTAATAAGCTATCTACACAGCTTTCTAGGTAAGTTTTATTATCCTGTGTGCTAATCCAGTTAGCTAGGGAAAGAAATAATATATATATATATATATCAAGCTCAGTTTATGATTATCACAACTCTCCCCTATATCATGCCTATTTGTACCTTGTACCCCAGTATCATTACCCCATGAACACCTAGATTCTCTTGCAATGCATTAAGTGCTTAACAACGGTATATTCATAAAATAAAATCCCTCATTGAAGGAAAGTAGTTTTTATATTCATAACTCTGCCTATAAATAATAAAAATAAAAGTCACAAATTTGCCAGGCACCTGATTACACCACCACCACCCCAACACACACACACACGGGTGGAAGCAGAGCTTTGGAGGCCTCATGCTGCTTTGTGTGGCTGCTGTACATAACTCCAGAAGTGTTTGGAGGGCTGAAGATGGGATGCCAAATTTAACAAAGGTCCCTACTGCATATATATAAAGACAAAAATCAGCTCTTCCACTGAAACCAGTAAAAGGATTTTCTTGAAGCTTTTAAAAGATTGTGTGACTGTTAACGGTACTACAAACTGAACTTCTCTGTCCTAGGAGTAAGACGTCTTTTGAAGATGATATACAGTATCAATGCTTCTTCACTGATGAAGAATCTAAAACTTCAGCATTTGTCTCAGCCTTGATCCCCTCCACACACAAAGCCATCCTGCCAGAATTTGGTAATTTGAGTTGAGGCTCACTGAAGCTGGGGGGGGGGGGGGGGGGGGGGGGGGAGGGAGAAGTACTGAGAGTCCCCAAAGTCTTCCACAGTCTCTATTACTCCTCCATCCAGAAAGAGAAGAGTAGTTCTCTGGGTTTTTACTGCTGTTCACTGATAAATGCTGTGACTTCATTGCAATGGCAGAAGTCCACATGTAGCACCAGTCAAGACAAAGCAGTTTAGAGATGATTCATCAGGGTAGTTGCTTGCATGGGCTATCCCAGGCACTATCAGCAAGTTATCTCAGCAGCAAAGATCAAGTAGAGGTTTACTGTCCCTTCTCAGCCCACTGCTCTGGACAAAGGTTCAGCCAGCAGTAGTACTTAGACCTGCTGGACCTAATAAGCCATGCCAGGTCTCTGATGTTGGCTGGTAATGCTGCAGGGAGCAGCGCAAGGTTTGAGCACACATTTGTCTGTAGTCAGATCAGGGCACGACTGGACTGTGATCTGGAGCTCTTACCCTAGGAATTTTCCATACCGGTGGCCTTGCCACAGCTCTTGTGTCACCAGCACCAGCCTATATCTCAATCACTCGGGCTAGTCCATGCTCATAAGCATTTGCTGGTACAGGTAAAGAAAATTAATGAGGCACATTATCTGTCTTGCAATATAGCTTTATTTTTATCTCCATCATAATAAGGACATTGCATCATCCTTGCAGCATCCTGTAAGATTTTAAAGAACACATCCTCAGGATTTGGGTTTTGTGCCTAATTCTAATAAATTAAATTGTTCCTTTGGACTTTTGACTTCCAGGTCTAACATCTTGCACAGTCAGCAGGACAGTTTCAGCCAGCAAAAGGGTTACTGCTGTAGGACTGGACTTTATGCCACTTTGTAAATAAAGCAGAATGGTCCAAAGCAGTTCCCCTCACCACAGAAAGAAACATCACATAACTGTACGTGTGTTTTGAAACAGAAAACAGAATTAAACCATTAGATTTGACTAAACATGAGTCTTTAGGGGAATCTTCTGGCTATCCAGGCATTATGGGAGAAAAGCCCAGAGTCCTTGGCAAGTGTGAGTAGTCAGGAGTTAGATCCCAAATCTGCAATCTGGATGCCCAACTTTAAAGAAAACATATATTTCTAACAGTTCAATGAAAATAATAGGTAGTCAGTTTCAACAATTCAGAATTAAATCCTCAGTCTAAGCCTTTTCCTGCCTTATAAGTTGGAATTTAGACACCTAGTTTTTGTTGGTCTGCAATTATAAGCCCATGAACACATTTGAAATACTTTTTTTTCCTTCCTTATTTTCTGCATCATTCTTTAAGAAGCCTCATATAAGAATCAGAGGAACTCAAAAATATTTGTGGTACATCTTTTTGACTAACTTTGATTACAGCTTTTGGGTACTGTAAAAGCTCAACATTTTGTGTAGCTGCTCCAATGCCTAGGATGCACATGAACTTGCTACTCTACTGCCACCACTTATTTTATTAAAAAAATAAAAAAGGGAGGGGGATACTTAATACAATGATACAGCTGTGTGGTTATGCTACTGTCTTTGAAAAAAAAAAGTATACAGCATTTTTTTATTATAAAAACAGCTTTGTGAGTGGAGAACCTACACAGATGAAGCATCATTCCACAACCTCTTATTCCAAGGAGGTTCATGCCTACATCTGTCACTTCACAGAGATTTGCCCTCTCTACAAATTATGAGATGCCAGACAGGTGACAGTCCTGACAACATCACCTACTGTACTGAGAGCACTCAACTCCTGCATGGCCCCAACAGGATGCCTCCCCATCCCTTTTACTGGTGGTGCCCAACCTGAGACGTATGCACCCAATGCTCCTTCTAAAAGGATAGGAAAAAAGCATCCACCACCCACCCATTACACCAATAGCTCCTGTGTCAGCAGTCTAGATTCAATTTTATTTTTTTTTCTTCTTAGAGGTTTTGAGCCGGCCTAATACTAGCCCAGCCTAGGAGCAAGCCCCTGAAGCAGTACAACCATCTCACACCATCCTGGAGGAGACAATTCATGCACACAGTGGTATATGGGCTATAGGGCTTCCACCTCTGTTATGACTGGAGCTACGAGGGGCTGTTCTTCTAGTAGCTTGCTCCTTTCCACTGTCTTCCACCTGATCTTGGAAAAAAATAAAATCAAAGATCTACACAGCAAACAGAAACTCAGCTACACTCTCCGAGCCACAGCTCTAACTCAGCACTAAACCTGTCTCCTACCCAATGATATCTCCACAGGTCACCTCCACACAGAGGTGGCATAATCTGGGGACAAGATCTTTACTCCCAGACACTTAGAATCATAGAACTGTTCAGGTTGGAAAAGCCCTCCAAGATCATCTGGTCCAACCACCCCCCTACCACCAATATCACCCACTAAACTATGCTCCTAAGCACCATGCCCTTACCACTGCCTCTCCTGACCACTGCATCCCATCTTGTTCATCACCCAGCCGCTGCATGCAGTTTGCATCTCTGTGCTTTCACATGCCAGATTTCTAAAGGGGTTTTCTTGTCTGTCTCCAGACAAAACTCCCAGCACCTCATTAACTGCAACATTCTTTTAGACAAGCTGTCCACATTGTGTAGAGATAGCTATCAATGTTTAGCCACAATTTACATCTCTTTATCTGCACAACAAAACATATGAGCTTCCTTCACAATCTTTTTCCTCTACATTTAAAGTACAGAAATCTAACCCATAGCTCCTACATCATTAGAGTAGCAATGAGCAACAAGTACATGCAGATATCTACTGCTTTACTTCCTCCCTACCCCACTCCAGGAGAGCACAAAGTCTTAACTAAAATTTATCCTCACATCCAGTACACAACTATCTAGGATTTCAGACTTGGATTGTACAGGACACCTTCACAGGAATTAACTCACAACCATGGAAGGGGAATAAATACTTAGTGTTCATGCAATAAATATTGAGAAAAAGATCTTCACCAGTTAATTTTTTCAGAATACCACTGATGCACCCAAGCAGAATTATTCTCACCTTCTACGCAATCTCCTCTAGTTCAAGGACACAGCTCACCCTTAAGCTAGGAGAATAAATTCAGACAAATTGACTGTTGCTTAAACCTCAACCTTCCTTCCCCCCCAACTCTTACTTCTTCATTAAATTACTAAGCAGCCTCAGACTATATATCTCCAAAACCAACTTTACCTACCACAAGCTAACCTTCTGAAGCTTAAATAGATAGCAGTTTCTGATTCACACCCTTAAGCCAGAAGCTGACTTCTTATTCAGTCACTTTTCAGCTGTTTTCAATCACTCCCTTTTGCTTTAAAGTATTGCCAGGTGTGCACCAGGAGCTGATATAGCTAGCTCAGATAATCCGTCTCTATAGAGTTGAAAGATATAAAGCTGAAAGGCTACTTGAAGCTTTTCAGGGGGAGGAAAAAAAAAAAAAAGGGAAAAAAAAAAAAACCAGCCCATCTTGAGTGATATTTATTTGTAACACATTATATCTTAGACAACATTTTAAGTGTTCATTTATTATTTTTCATTTCCACATTGAATGGTTTGGGTGGGAAGGGATCTTACAGACCATCCAGTTCCTACCCCTGCTGTGGGCAGGGATGCCTCCCACCAGCCAAGATTGCCCAAAGCCATCCAGCCTGGCCTTGAACACCTCCAGGGGTATAACATCCTAACATCCACAGATTCTCTGGGCAACCTGTGCCAGTGTCTCACCACCTTTACAGTGAAGAATTTCTTCCTTATATCTAATCTAAACCTACCTTCTTTTAGCTTAAAGCCATTGCTCCTTGTCTATCACCACATGCCCTTGTAAAAAGTCCCTCTCCAACTTTCTTGTAGACCCCCAATTTCATTTGTTTATTTTGCATGTCTGGAAGTATAAGTGGATATTTAGAAAACAATTGCGCTTATGATATCCTGCACAGCACCAGTTATCCTACCAGTCATTCACGGACCCAAGAAATGCCTGTCCTGGAGAACATACATTCAGGCATACGTGCACTTAGAAAACTCTGTCCCATAGAGACCATCGTCAGTGCTCGTTCCTGAGGCAATGCCCCCAGTCAAGGTGAAGCAATTTTAAATTCTTCTGGCATTTGCATCTGGGAGGATTGCCAGGACACTAACAGATGGTGTTGAAATATCCCTTCCTTCTGCTCAGAAGAGAGGCCCATCAGCAGCACTGGGACACTTTCCATTAACTGTAGGCTGCCTTGTTGTACATACACCAAAGGGATTTTACTGCCCAGTCGCACTTGTAATCTTCTTAAAGTTTTGCAATAATGCTAAATTTGATGTGAAAGCACTAAGTGTTCACTCTCTAGTGAGGAAAAAGGCATTCCACAAAACTGGTCTAACATTTCTTTGGGACCAAATCAAACCGAACTGAAATTAATCTACCCTCAGCTTTAATCTGCTTTGACCTTCTCCTCTTGTGCTGATTGATGACTCTGGAGAGGAGATTCTTTCCTGCAAAGCAAATACCACCACTGTAAAGTACAGTAGCTTCCTTGTTTACCGCGTGATTTTCATGTCACTGACAGAGATCCCTTCCTCAGGCTGTGTGCACTTAACTCTTCTCCGTGGCACTGCTACAGATGGGAGCAGGATCTGTTCCAGTATAACTGAGGTAAGTGGGAATTGTCTTGCAGGCAGCACTTTTGCCAGTAATTACTTCTTATGATGACTGATGAAGCATTTGGGTATGACACCAGCTTTTAGAAAAATGGCAAGAGAGAGGAGAATCTGTCTGGGCCAGGCCCAGGAACTGGGGTGCACTCAGTGCCCGACACCCACACCGTGCTAGGTGAACCCTGGCTGCTTGCTCCTACTGCATCTCCTTGTTCCTCACTATACCTGACCTGTGTGTTGTACAATAGCCAGCCTTCCTCTCACACCTCTCACCAGATTTCAGCAGTTATTTATTTCCCAAAGTGCTCTGTCTGGCCTAATAGCTACCTGAAGCCTGAAGCTTAACAATTGCAACTGATACCCACTCCCCTCTCTTTATATTTTCTTCTACTTCTATAACCAGTACCCTTTCTTCCTGTGGGGAAGCACATCATGACCCTAAGCTGTCGATCAGGTTTGCCATCCAGAAAACAAACCCTGCAGGCACCCGGGGTAGCTACCTAGCCTCCGCTCAATCCCACAGCACCGAGTTTTACTTCCCAGGCCAACCCCAACAAAATGGGTGCAGCTATACCAACGCGCAGTGCTGGCAGCCAGCACACCCACACCCCTCTGTGTGTGTGCATGTACCCAAGGAGAGATGGCCAGGCTATCACCCTACACAAGGAGAAAGGTCTCCTTCATCTTCTTGAAGGTGAAGCCCTGTTGATGAGGTACCCCTGAATGCTTTCGGTTGTTGTCCCTCCTCGTGGGCCTCAGTGAATGCTGTGGGCCCACTTTATTGAGGGCTTTGTTGAGATTGTGAATGCATGGGTGTCAGTCTCCTACCTGATTAGGAGGTATGGGCTCCATCACATCCATGACCATGAGGTATCTGGGGGCCGCCAGCTCCATGAACCTGGGCGTAGGATGCCTCACTAAGTGCTCACTAAGTGTTTTGTTTTAATCCAGAGGAGTAGAATGGATTCCTTTCCCTGCACCTCAAACTAATGTTGAAATTACTGACGATGAATCCAAAGTGATCTCTGCCTGCTGGGATGCACACGCAGTCATTCAACCACCTGGTCCAACCTGTCACCCAGCCCCAGCGTTAATTTCACCTCATCTGCCCCCAGAAGTCAGCTGTGTTTCAGAGCTGTGTTACCCCAAACCCCACTGCTGCTCTGTGGTTCCTCAGCTCCCAGCATCCCAGGCTTGCAGTGAGGGAGAAAGGTAGAAAAAAATTGAAATACCACTCCCTGTCCCTATATTTCCCAAGCTGGGTGAACATCACCTAGGGATTTCCTTGTTTCAGCGCCATTGTCATGCCTGAAGGGAGGGGAGAAGAGCACAGAGGACTGAAGGCAGAGATGGGATCCCACCTGAGCCACAGTGAGATGCTTATTTTTTTCCTGTTCCCTTCCCCTTTTCCATTTCTTAGAGAGATGTCACCTATGAGGGAGGTAAGGATATGCACAGTCTGGCTGAAGAAGGCAACCAGGCTAAGCAGGACAAACGCCGCCCTCATAACTTTCTTTCATCTTCCTCCATGAGAACCTCTGACCTGAGCCTGAGCTGGGGCCAGGCTGCCTTGCCAGGCCACGCAGTTTGCAAATGTCTGAGAGCAGGACAACCACCACACCACCAGGCCATGGACTGAGCTGCATAGCTCTGTCCTGCACCTCAGATGGCTCAGCTGGAGACGGAGACACTGAAAGCACTTCAGAAAGACCACAGCAGGAGAACATCTGGCGAGAGCTGGCCCTACTAGGTTCACACTCAGTGAAGAGCGCTGTGACCATCAACAGACATTTATTGATAGGTACATCTAAAAACATCTTCTCAGGCGATGTAACAGCTGGGAGCAACAAGAGCAGATATTGTATGTTTATATTATACAGCAACAGCAGAGCTGGCTCCCTGCTGGTAATCATTTGAGATCCAGTGCCCGAGGCCATTGCATTAGTCAGTTAAAATAGGGCTTAATGCTACCCTAGTTTACACGTGCACAAACTTTCCTAATGTCAATTACGGTTGCACGTTGCCTAACCAAGGGCAGCACTTGGTCTGGAAGTTGTTTGCATGCCCTGTAATTTATACTTTTTGTACTGTGAAAAAAAAAAAAATAATAATACAACAATCAGCTGAGCTGTTGGTTGCAAAACATCTTCTCCTGTAATTACCCTGATTGTTTATGTCACGGTAATGTGTCCTTAGACGTTGAGCAGTGTAAAAAGATTGATACACCCCAAAAGTGTAAATGGCAATTAGGAAATTTCAACAGGTGCTGAGTAAGATGGAATGTTTGTGACATTTTAATGCTAGCCTTCACTCTGTTCCTCTGTCTTGTTGAAATACAGAGATGTCAGTTGTTGGGGGAGATGTTTGGGGGCAGTTCAGTGAAAATTGGTGTATGTTCGGTATTACTCTATTCTTTCATACAAACTATGGGCTTCCTTTGTAGTAAAATTGTAATAAAGGGACTAAGATCTACACAATATTCACTATAAAAATATCACAAGCAGGTTTACATTTGCAGTGTCATGCTTTGGCATGTACCAAGAGCAGGAATGGCCATTAGCTGGAGGAAAAAAAGTCTGAATGCAAATAAATCATGGCATGGAAGCACAGCCTGTGGAAATTGTGCAGTTGCAGTATGGCCTGGCATTTCCATGTATGTGTATCAAGTATATCCTCCTTCATGAAATAACTTGTGAAATAGTGGCTTTTGGCTTGGTAGTATTAATTTTTAATCTTTGGCTGACAGGATCAGATCCTTTGCTATTGTCAAGCAACTGTCAGTGGTACCACACCAGGCTGCATGCACAAACAGTCTGCCATAAATTAGTGAGTAACCTTTCCCAGCAGTATGGCCAGGGCTGTTCTGGGGACCTGATGGGGTGCCCACCACTACAAGGTAAGATGAAGAAAGAAATGACGAATTCAACCTGCATTTCTGATTAATGGGAATCCATCATAGTGGTAGTTAAGTGCAGTGGTATCAAGAGAGTTTGAATCTGGGGGAACTGGACGAGAAGCTTTGGCAGAGGGTTAGCAAAACCAGAAGCACCAGAAGGAGCCGTGACCATCATGCCTAAGTCATAAGCAGAGAGGAAGACGACTGATCCCAGTCACAGGATCAGGAGCAACCTGGCAATTAGCTGAAGCATTATTTTGAATGTTTTAAAGGCTTCTGGCCAGTGCAGTACTTCAGCACAAATCTGTTGTTAAACACGGATAGGCGTCACTGAACTTTGCCCTAGGTAGCTCTGCAGTCTGTTTGGAAACTGGGAGATGGATGGCACAACCTGTGCATGTTTCCTGGACGTGCTTTGATTCCTGATGGACAGTGAGTCATGGAGGCTGATGGCACACAGAATTGCAGTATTTCTGCATGAGCATCAGAAGACTTAAGTTTTAAATCACGGGCCTAGGGTGATTACTGCTTACATTTTAGAAGAAGACTGTTTATACTGTATTGCATAAATATTTATGTTATAAGAAATACTTCTGTTATCTTCATTTCACTAAAATATGGTACAGTTTGACATGGCAGTTGTTTTGGGGGCTGCTTCCTCCGCTTCTGCTGAGCTTAGAGTTAGGAAACCTAATGACCTCTTAAAATAGTCTTTCGGGCATTTAAGGAGTACTTTTCATTTCTCTCCATCCCTTTCATTTTAAGATCATATGCAATCAAAAAAAAAAAAGAGCAAGATGGCTGTTTTTGCCTAGTCATAAGCCAGACATCACTCATGTCATGGGAAGCATGTTGGAAACACTCTGTGTGCCATCTTTCTTGTAGAAGGAAGAGAGAGTCTGAGCCTATCACAACAAGACAGGCTGTTTGCATCTGGTTGTTACAGAAGCCTTGGCTCTGGTCTCCTGTGCTTACCTTCACTGAGGACAGACTGCAGAACCCTGCTGGAAGATATTTCGGCCTGCACAATTGCACTGAGCAATTTTTTTTTTTTCTTCATATGAAAACCTTTATTGGAAACACAGCCCTCTGATGGGTTTCTTTAATGCCTGGGGCTAACCTCAGTTCCTTTATTTTGTACTATGTTGTTCTGCAAGCTTCCGTGATACATATGTAAACAGATAGTATGAAAAAAAATCTTCATTTTTTAAAACTTCTCTTTATTTTTACATTCGATGCACGAGGACAGACAAGATGAGTATTCAGGACAAAGTATAAAGCCATATACTGTCCTAAAAACAATAAAAGTGATAAAGTTTGAGAGTTTAGAAAAGTATTTTAGAAACAATGTATTTCCAAAATTCCTCATTACAGAAAATTCAAATCTTTTAGAAAAGTGGAGTTCAATATCCTTGTGCATTAAGCCATATGATGAAAGTATGTAGGTGTCTTCCATCCTTATTTTAAGAAATCTGTCTCTGCATTACAAACCATCTTTACGTAACCTATTGAAGGAGCCAACAGCCTCCATAATAAGCAGTATACACAGTTACAAACAATTTTAAAAGTTATATTACAAAATATACAGTAGTTCCTTTTTACATTTTTATAGATAAACATTGCATAGTTATCAAATACGTAATATATAACACAATCACATGAGCCTCTTTCTGTATAACTTATGAAAAGTTCTGTACACTCAAATAATTATAAATAAAGTGTAAATATCTTTTGTTAAGAGCAGGGGGGAAATATACCAGGACATGTTATGCTGCCAAGTGTTAATCAAAAGTCCTTGTTTGGAATCTGCCCAAAACAAAGGCACAATATGGCCCGAAGTTCACCAGCAAGGACAGAGTGAGAACTGGGTATATCATATGGGAAACATTACAATGAGGAACATAAAGTACTGATATGTCCAACCATAATTTTTACCCTGATTCTTTTACAAGAACTGCTTTTCCTCTAATGCTTTGCTGAAAGTTATCACTGTGCTTGATGGCTTTACTTCAAGATGCAAAATAAGGTGCACGTTAAGAAATGAGTAAAAGTAGATAAAAATGTTCCCTGTTTCAATGGGTGTTCAATGGCTGTTTAAGATAACTTTGAAAGAATTATGGATAATTTTCTCATATTTTTTCTGTAGAAACAGAGCATGGGAAATGCACGCTAGGATCTAAAGAAACGCAGATCATGAAAGCATCATGAACTGAGAAGAAAATGAAAAACAATTATTGAAGATACCACAATTCCACTTTGAAAATGAGATGCTGAAAAAAATCTGTTTGAACTATATGAGGGAGAAGGTAAATACTTTTCAAAAAAAATAGTTAGGTATAACTCTGCTCTCTGTTACTAAGCCTACAAAGAGCAGAAATACACCAAAATTAAATGCTTTTGGAAATTCACTCTGATTCTAAGCATTTTGTCACTGACTCACAATTGTAGCAACAGTTGGAATCTCAGTATGAATGTAATTTTCAAACATGTTTTAGGCAACTTAGTTTCCCATTTCAAATGTCAGCTTAAAAAGGAAATTAAAAAAATTCCCCTTCTAAAATGTGTGTTTACCTGATAGCTGAATGCAACCTACTAATCTTAGAGCTTTGCATAAAACAAACTGTTCAGAAGTGTGTTCTAGCAGCACGGAATGGCTACGCTAAACTAAAGGTCTTGTCAGCATTTCCATTACAAATGTAATCTCAACTCAGCCATATAAAGTGGCTTTAAATTATACTGCTTGGCCTACACCCAACCACATGATTTTTTTTTCTTTTGGTGGTTGGACCTCAGATATTATCCTGTGCTCACTCATATCTAAGCTATTGAAGGCCAGCAGAAGTACTCAATGCATCTTTGAAATGTTCTTTTTCTGACACTGAAATGATGCCTTTTGTCAGTCCATGAGTCAGAGCAGTCTCATAAGCATTTAGCAGAACATCAGTAATGGTAAGATCTGTGCACAAGCAGCTTCACTCTAAGTGCTACACTACCTATGGGTTGACTACACGTGGCAATGACTACACTACCTATGGATTTTGTTTGGGATATGCTGTATTCAATCGCCAGTAAAATTCACATTGTTTCCAGGGAGCACACAGGGATGGTGCAGAGTGAACACTCCTTTCTCACCATTAAATGCTACTAGATGTCCCGCACTAGCCATAATCTTCTCTCTGGGTTCCCTCTTTTGTAGCCCTAAAGCTACTCTTGTCGCTCCACCGCTACCCTTAAAGGTCATTTTGTGGCTCAGCCAGACGGAGCCATAGTTGCACACAGGTCTCTTGGCATCAGCCCAGACTTGAGTGGCTCTCTCCACCCCTACACCAGCCACTTGTCCTCCCTCCTGAACCATTCCTCTAATTGTCAGGACAAGAGCTTGTGGGGTTACATGGTGAACAGGACTGGGGAGGACTATCTAGACAGAGGAATGGCCACGCAACCACATCCTGAGTCCATCAAGCTCTTTCATAGCCACCGTGTCTCCAAACCTAGTGCTTAACCTTCAGCAGGCAAAGGGATCAGCAATTACTTTTTGGCCTTTAGCTTGAGATGACAAAAGATAACAGCTCCCGTCCCCAGTGTTAAAGGAGACAGAGGGCTCACAATGGGCCTATGCATACCCTTATGCCAGACCAGGACTCCCAGAGCTTCTGAGGGATGTCCCAGCATTTCACTTTCCTCCACACATGGACAATAGATTTTGTCTGTATTGGGAATACTGTTTTCCATTTTGACCACTGAAGCCACTGCAATCAGGCCAATGAAAATGCTTGGATACTTTTTTTTGTTTGGTTCTTTTTTTTTTTTTTTTGTTCTTTTTTTTTAATTTCCAGAGCATTTGGGTATCAAAGTAACTTCTGCTGAGTAAGCCAATGGGCCAGAAAGGCTGTTCTACAAGTGCCTTGGTTGGTTGGTTGTTTTTTAATTAAGTTTGAATTGATCGCATTCCTTTCATCCCTCTGTTCATGGGTCTACATCAGGATTTCTTTTGTTTGCTACTGATAGCGTTGGATGAATGTACAACACAGTAGATCCTCTGTAAGCAAATCTGTCTTTAGCTTTTCAAATGATCATAGATATTCTAGGGACTGTCAAGCTTGTTTGACTCCATTCCTTGACGAGTGATATATCACTGGCTGCAGGAACCTAACAAAATGTTCACTCTGTCCTCAGTGCATTGTCCAAGATGGTTTACAAGAGCCTAACCATCCTATGCTGTATCTCTGTTGATCCACTACTATAAGGCTGTGTTGTTTGTGCCTGTTTTTTCAACACAAGCTGCAGCTGGTGCCCTTCTTACACCTCTTTCTTCATCAGCCATTGCAATGGTGTTTTCATAAACCTCCATAGTTTTTAGCTGATTGTCTTTGGCACCCTCCTGTTCTGCATTGACTTTGCAGCACTTGCAGAAACCGCAGCAGTGTTTCCCACAGAAGGCAAGTGTAGACATAATCATATTGTCCCAGGGCTCTAGAGAGTGCATCCAGATGGGTAGGAAATCCCAGTTTTGGAGCTTCTCAGGCAGTGAATGTGGTCGTTTTTTCTGCATAACATTAATTACAATCACAGCAATAAACAGAGCAAACAAGGGAAGGCAAACACCCAAAAGGACTGGCCAGCCTGCCAGTGACAGACCAAATACAAACAAAGGCAAAAGAAAGAAGCAGACGAGAAGATAAAATATAGCAAACCATCTGTACTTGGCTGTTATGTTCCCCAAAGTCTTGCACATCCGTATTGGGAGCCGGGTGAAAGGCAGCGGGTAAAACAGAATTATCCCAGAGACATTGAAGAAAAAGTGGCACAAGGCAATCTGAAAGAAAAAAAAAAAAAGTTTGAGAAGTTTGCTCCTACAAATGCCTTTAAATGCTCCTGCCTACATAATAATAACTTCCAGTGGTGCTGACTCCATAGTGTCCCTTCTCCTGCTCCTCACTTTTTTTTTTGTCTTGTCTTTCACACTGTTTCACTGCCAGGCCTTTCCTGCACGAAGCAAGGACTGGGTAATACCTCATGCATTGTAAAGGTCAAACCCTACAAACAGGCCATGGCGTTTGGAAACGAGACAAGCATAGAGGGGACTCCTCCTTATCTCCCTGCAGATGGAGAAGTTTTAAAACACAGCTTTCCACTGCAAGAAATTGAGTCTACCAGAAATAAAGCTGGCAAACCAAGTAACAATCAGGAAACAGTTTTGTTGTTAGTAAGGCAGGAGAACCACGTGAGAACTGTTCATTACTGAGTTCTGCATCCCTAAGTTTTCAACTAAGAGATGGGAAGAGTAGATTAAATATTGCATACAAGTTATTGAGAAATTGCTAATTGGACGAACCTGGATTTTCCAAACAATTAGCAAAAAGTTTACACGGCACTGAGGAGATTCCTGAAATGTGACTTTTTCTAAATCTTTTATGATCATTTGATATTTCAAAATCCTTTAAAAAAAAAATAAGCATGAAGAGACATATACTTGCTAAATCTTTCAGAAGTCACTTGGACAGAATAAGCATACGTGGAACAAAACAGTACATTCCCTGCTCCCACTATCTTATTTTTCTTCCGTAACTGTTATCAGACTAAAGCAAACATGAAAGTACTGGATTCTGATTTTTAGAGTACATTATAAAAATAGCAGGTTAACACGAGAGCTGAGGTTGGTCAAGATAGTATCTTCACATGATTATATCTGTTCTGTCATGCCTGAGGACAATAAAATAACTTCAGTAATTTTCTTAATTTATTGTGGCTAGTAAAAAGCATTCATCCTATTCACAAAGGAAACTTCATTATCTTTTCACTCTTTGATGTAGAGGGTTCATTGAAATGTTATCTTCTGACTGGAATGTTCTTTACTGGGTGGTAAGTGGGAGCCCAAAGCCAGGCTGCCTACATCTCAAGTAATCTGAGGCAAAAAGAAACTCAATAAAAGCCGCTCATATTAGATTTGCAATGAGAATGTTGTTGTCATGATGCTCACTGCAATGTCACACAGGTTGACAACTTGACATCTCATGAGTTTTAAAGCCTCTACTTAGATGACAGAAATCCCTGTACACTGCATAAACAGAGTTTGGGTCCTGAGCAGGGAACTCAACAGAAATTAGTAACCCTCATAGGCGATAGACAAAAGAGTTGTCAAAGTGAGCACTGAATTCCAAGATGCTAAGATCGCATACTCTGCAGTCAGGTGGCCAATCTTGTCTGATTTCTGAATGAATTAATCAGACCAAGCTAAATTTATGAAAGCAAGATCTGACTACATATAGACATTCTAGGAATGCTTAATAGAAGCCTTTTGCTCTGATAGTTGAAATTAATGAGCAGTCACTAGTAGCACTCAAAGAATCGAGTCCAATTTCCATGATATATTTGCATCAGAACTAATTTTGTCAGGTTTTTATTCAGAAAATTTGCAATTCTAAATGAATTCAAGGAAGCATTGGTTTATACTGACCTGTAATGAATATTTTAATGTACTCCCTGGGCTTGCTAAAGCTGCAAGTATAGCTGTTGTGGTTGTGCCAATGTTAGCTCCTAAGGTGAGGGGATAAGAACGCTCGATGCTTATAACACCAATGCCTAGGAGAAAGGAAACAGCATTGAATGATTGCAGAATGTTGAAAAAAGATAAAAAGTGGAGATAGAAATTACAATATTGACAACTTACCAACAAGAGGTGTAATTGCAGATGTGAAAACAGAACTACTTTGGACAACAAAGGTCATGCCAGCCCCTGCAAGCATAGCCAGGTATCCAGCTAGCCAAGTAAAAGGAAAAGGGAAATCTAAAAACAAAACAAAACATTGTCTTTAGAATAACAAATATTTAGAATAACAAAATGTTCCAGTCATATAGAAAACAATACTAAACATTTCAAATGTAAATATACTGCTTGCATATTGTCTAAAACAAGAAGATTTGGGGTCAGCCTGAGTTCTATTACTTGAATTTACCCTGTTCTTTGTACTCTCTCTCCAGCCTTCCACCACTGGACACACTGTGAGATGGATACTAGGCTAGGTAGACCTTTGTCCTGACCCAGAGTAGCATGTATGTTGTAATATGAGTAGGTACCAGAAATTTTTCCACTGAGCTCAACACAAAACTTTCTAGGTGTTTAAAGTATCGGTTTTGGCGAGCAGGCGCTTGCTACATGAATCAGGTCTTCAGAAAGTTCTGAAGACTATCCTGAGAAAATAAGGAGGTTTGTTTTAACTAGTTTTAAGCTGATCATCTCCTAATAATTCACTTGTTACTCTTGCAAAGAAAAGCTATTCACACTGATTAGAGAAACTAAGCACAATGGTCTGCAGATTTGTAAGTGAGAAGAGGCCAGGACTCCATCAGTCAGGAAGACAGAGGGATTCCAAGCAGATCACAAATGAACAGTAACTGGCAGCCGATCACTTTCTACTCATTTATTTTGATTTGGGCAATGTTCTTTGCCCAGAAGAAGACAGAAAGGGGACCACTTTATTGTCTTCCCCACGTCTGTGAGCATTCTCTTCTAACACAATCAGGTGTATGCCAGGACTGCTTTTCCCTGGTACAGGTTCTGACCTCTCCATTCAATGGAAAATGAAGAAAAAGCAGCCAAGTGGAAAACAAACAAAACAAAACAAGACAAAATAGCTGTTTGCACACAATGAAAACAGGCTGAAAAATCACCTGGATAACATGGGGAAAGACAGAAAGTACCAATATGCAGGGCTGCTTATCACCCTGAGGAGACGGTTAAGGAATGGAGCAGGGCAAGTAAAGGAAATTAGATCATTAATCTCTACGTACATTTATTCAGCTTACTTTAAAAGAAACATGGAGGCCCTGTGCCCAAGCCAGCAGTCACGATCTCGGCACTATCTTTTGAGGTTATGAAGATTACATTTCTAACAGCTAATGATTATACATCAAGATACAGAGCCTGAACTTTGGTCTCTGTTGTTAACCTGCAGTCCACAAGCAAGCTGTTAACTACTAGCTTTAAAAAGGAAGAAAATAGCATGCTGAGCTGAAGAAATATTGGGGGGTGACGACTGGTTTAATACTGCTTTCTTGAACCTATTCTGTAATAACTGCATAACAGAACAGGAGATTTTGATAAATGTGCCTAATGTCCTTGCTATTTCTAAGAGCAATCTTCAGGAAAAGCAGGTTAATTACCAGTGTTGATTGTCTTCTTGATAACACTTGCCACTTGTCCTTTAAGTACAGAGTTTAATAGCTTAACGATCATCACCAAACAGGAGCACAGAACAAGCAGGGACAAAGCCAGAAGGATGAGACCGATGGCAAGATCAGGCAGGTCTGATTCTGCAAAGAGATGCCGGCCTGAAAAAAGAAAAAAGAAAACAAATTGGCCTAGTCACATTTTTTCTTCTGATCCCAAGGCCAGCTCTGGTTTTCATGCATAGCCCTAAGAACGTGGGACCAAAGCACACGCAGCTTGAGGCGGTGATGAAAAGAAAGAAAATGCTGCCTCCCTGGCTGCACAAAAGCCATGCCTGAGAGGAACTCGTGTATGTACACTTTCATAAATACATAGTGGGCACATCTGCAGGGCAGGCAGAAGCAGGGTGACTATATGCATGGAAGGAGAACAACAACAGAGTGAGGAAATTGTGGTGTACTCCCAGCTGGGCTGTGAGTCAGCTCTTCCCAGGGACGGCTGTGTGCTGGGAATGGCTGCTGAACGTCCTGAGCAGCACACATAGGGATGGAGACATCCAAGCAGCCACCACAGCACAGTAACTGTAGCACCGAGTCACCTGAATAGCAAGGGTGACATGATACTGACGACCCCAATTACTGATATCAGGGAGCATGGAAAGGTATCTACGCGCAGCCAGATGCAGTGATGATGATGATGTAGCTGTACAGCAGAGCTGAGGCTGTTTTGACTACACCTGTAGTAGTACCTTGTGCATGCATACAGGCAAGTGCCTCTTGGTGTAACTCTGAAGTGGTCTGTAGGCACCATTAGGAAGATAGGCAACTCTGTAAAAGTATTGCAGAAGGAGAAATAGCTCCGCTACTCACATTTGCTGATATAGTCTGTTTCAGATACATTTTTCATGGTCCATGTCACGTTTCCTTCAGTCCAGCAAAGGTCAGGAGACGTGCAGTTTTCTGAAGGTGAAAGTGTGACATTCTGCAGTGTCTAAAGATTGCCAGAGAAAGCAGATGGTTCAGTCACCTACAGCCTTCTTTAAGAGCCCATACACCATTCTAGGTTTTTGCTGCAACCAAGAATTCATCAACTACAGCTACAGGCAGGCTTGTAAGCTGGAGTATAATTAATGACACCAGAGAAATGACATAGCAAATTTTTTTGTTTTGTTACAATAAACAGCTGTGCTGTTACTCAGGTCAGTCAATATGACTTTTAAAGATGAAACCTTCTATGTCAGAGCAACCAGATCGTCAGTAGCTGAGAACCATAATTACTGATCTCAGGGCTCATGGAAATAGATTCACAGTTCTGCTTGCACTTTTTGTGCCATTGCTCGCCTTCTGGGCCTGGAAGGATTGCAGGATGCTGACACTCAGACCTGAGAGGGCACTGGGAGCAGCAGGCCCGCCTCAGCCTCCTGCCACACCTGAGGTGGAGCAGCCGGCACTGCTGCAGGTAACCTGAGGGGAGTTTCATGCTACCACGGCCTGCTCCTGGCCCTGTCTGCCATGGCTAGCATTTCACTGGCCATCCAGAACATCATTCAGTAGGAGTGGGGCTCCTCTGAAAACTTAATTTTAATCTCCACTCTGTGTGTGCTTTAGCATCTGCTGCCTCAGGACTTCAGGAATCAGTTTTACACACCCACTAACAAGCAGAATAACTCTCGTTAAAGGTCCAGGGGCTGTTCAATGCTCTAGTTGTTAGTTTAGCTGAACAACACAAACCAAACACAGCTCCACAGTCCACCAAAGTACTCCTTGGTGCCAATCTGGGCAACAAGTTCCTCAAGCTGCAGTGGTCTCAGGAGTAGAAAAGATAATTTTAGCCCCAGAGAGGCTTTGTCTGAAGGCAGTTTTCTGAGAAAACTGAAGTAACCAACTGTCAGCAGACCACCCTAGCACATAAAGCTGCTTAGATCAGATAGGTGGGCAAAAAGAGATTTTCTTGGCCATACGTTGCAGATTTTTTCCACTTTCAATGAGTCTGAAGGAGTGCCAAGTTTAAAGGCATTTGTATGTGAAAGGAGTAGGTTTGGCTCCAAACCACCAATTCTGATAAGCAAGGGCCTGCAAAAGCAACCAAGTCAAGACTGCTGCTGGTATGACATGCTTGGTTTAAGCAGTACAAAAGCTACATTAAATTGTCTGCATTCCTTTTCTGCAGCAATAAATACTCATTTAAAAATCTAATTTCACAATCCTATGATAAGCAGTGCCAGCTATGGATCAATAAATATTTCCTGAGGAGCCTGACAACTAATTTAACATAATACTTACCACATTGGTTTCAGTTACGCACCAAATCTTTACAAGGCTTTTGTTTTTTGCTGATTCGTCATTTGTAGCAATTGCATTTATTACAGATTTATCAAGCTTAAAAATAAACAAAGGAAAACAACAGTGTTAGTCCAACTTCCACCACACACTTCTGTTCAGCTCTACCCAGATAATAACTTCCCTTTTGGAAGCTCAGCCACATGAAGCCTACATGACCATCTCTAATACTGGAACTGCTGCCCAGCAGGGAGGATGGGTTTTACTCCCAGAAAAGGTACAACTTCATATGCACAAATACTTACACTGGAGTATTCTCCCCAAATCACTCACCCCATCATCTCAGCCATTCTGCTTAAACAGCTACACTGACACAACTGCCTGAAGCAACAGGCTGCCATCCCATCCACCCCATATGTCACCTGCCCTCCCAGCCCGCTAGCTAGGCCTATCCTCATGAAGATGAAATGTAGGGGAAATAGAAGTGGGAATTATGGAACTGGGTCTTTGTGAATCCACCTGCTAATGAGCTTTATCCCAAGGACACAGAGAAGTGATTGAGTCCCTTTCCCATATTCAGAGCATTCCGTACTGTGGTGGTACCAAGTAAGTAGCTTCGTTAATGAGAAAAAGAGCTTACCTCAATGATGAGCTTTGTAAAAGGGTCTGTGATAACTTTTAGTAGCTCAGGGGCATCCTCACCACTTTCAAGATGAAAGGACTCCACTATAACATTAGTGAGATGGTAAAGATAGCCAGAAATTACTTCAATGGGCAACAATGCAAACACAGCAAGCCAGTTGAAGAAATCATGGATTGTTGCCCCAGCAAAGGCCCTGCAAGAAGAAATTCAAAAATAGAGCTGCTTTTAATTAAACAATATGTGCACAACTTCAATTAAATATGAAATCATAAGGGTGGGGATGAAGCCCATTTACAGATAGGAATTATTTCATTTCTAAGGTCCCAGAAGATGGTTGCTTTATTACAGAGCTCTAAGTTTTTTCCACACCATTGTCCAAGTGAAAGAGTCAGGCAAGGTGACCAGAACAAGAAAAACTAGACAATACAAAAGTAATCCTCAACACAAGGCTGCCATGAGTACTTAACAGCTTACACTGTTTTTGTATTTCACCCTGTTTTGGTACACTTTTAATTCTCAACCAGGATTTGCTTCTAGGATCTGTTCTCCCTGACTCATGCAGAAGACATCTCTTTGCAGCCCTCTCACATGTTCTTGCAAACCATGGGTGTACAGCACCCTTCCAGCTTCTCCTCCACAACCTGAGGAGCCACAGCTATTTCCTCAAGGGCACTCTTTCCAAAGTTCCTGGCAGGTGCTTGTGCTCCTCTTAATTCTATGCAATCTGCCTGTATTTGTTTTAAAATATGGCTCCTTAAATTAAGAATTGTAGAGGAAGAAAAACGTGGAAGAAATATTCCTTGAAATGCTAATCCACTAATTTAGGTTCCAAACTGCTTGAGGGGAAATTAGGTGGAGCATTCAAAGTAGGCCAACAAAATGGAGAGTGCTACCACAGAGAGAATATCTTAATCGGTGGTGGTCACCAGAGTTTTTCTTTCCATTTTGTGAAAAGTACACCTGTGAGTGCCCTACAGAACACGCATATGCAGAGGGTATTTAGAGACTAAAGTGGTTGTTAATGACTACGTTAAAAATCAACTTATTTCCTGTTATTTTTTATTTAAATTTTCCTGACCAGAAACTAGTAGGGTACTTTGTCATTGCAAGTTAAGTGACAGAAACTAGCTCAACCAAAGATTCCGAACAGCAGATCTTTGAGAAATATGCTTCAGCTAGGTGTACTTTGTATGTTTGGAATGCCATAAATACAAGATACTAAAGTCTTATATTCCTCCCAAGTTTACTGCCCTTCTCCATTTAATGAGAGCTCTATGTGATAAAGTGAGCTCTTAGTGATAATGCCAAGTGACAGTAAAAAAAAGTTGCTGCTCTATTTATTTTACAGCCAAAACACTTCATTTTTCTATGGCTACCAGCTGTTGCTTGTTGTAGACTTCAAAAGCCTGGAGCACTGGAGTCCCTCTTAATGAGAGTAGATTGAAATAGTGTAATGTCAATTTATTAACTCCTAAAATTAAGAAGTAACCAAAAGTGGGTGGCATCATTGGAGTAGTCTGAAAATTTATCATTGCGTAAGATCCTATTTAAAATGGTGGAGTCTCACAAAACCACAAAAATTTAAAGAAATCCAATATGCTTTTCTGCATGTATATGAAGCCATATATCTAAACAGCACTGTACTTTGGCCATGGCAGTTGTGCGAGGAGTGACAACAGCTTAAAACTTGCTATCATGTCAAAGCTGACAGTTTAGGAAGCTGAAAATTACATCATTCACATCATAATTTTATAGGAAAAAGCAAACAATTAACTTTTTTTTTTTTAACCTCCATTGAAATAAATGATAAAATCCTTTATGATTAAAATCTATTGCATTTATAGGTCATTAACCTTGCTTTAGAAGTTTCTTGCGATTTTCCTAACTAGACATTCAAATTCTGGTCAATAGAAGGGTTGAATGGCTGTAGTGCTGATAGGCAGTATAGAAGAAAACCTAGTGAGAAGGAAGAAAAGCAGCTTTTCAGTTCTACTGTTTAAGTACAATACCTTCTAAATTCATTCCTGTCCCCGGCTTGCATGAGTGCCACAATTGTGTTTGTAACTGAGGTGCCAATGTTTGCCCCCATAATGATAGGAATAGCTGATTGCACAGTCAGCACTAGAAAGTAGAAAATGAAGCATTGAATGAAAAAATCATCAGCGAGCTATTTGGTCCAATGAAAATTAATCTATGTTAACACCTGACTTCCCTTGATGTCACTGGGATTAGACACTCTAATCCAGACGTTTGCTTTAATCAAGCCCCTTGGGAATGTGGTACTCTGATAGTCTAGTGACCCCCCACTGCAGCCCATGGTTATCTCCTTTCACTGCATGATAAAGGGCCAGAGTAAGAGTCTCAGGTATTGTCTGCAGAATTGTGAAATGGTGCTAGAAACAAATCAAATTCAGTAACAGGCTAACAAAAGAAAACTATTCAGATACTTTAAAAGCTAATGCATTCAATACCAAGGCTTCCAGTGATTTTCTTTGCTATTATGGACAGTATTTTCTGCAGTGTATTAACTTTTTCTTCCCCCCCCCCCTTTTTTTTTTTCATAATTTGATATCAGGGCAACAGTTGTGAAAGTCTTTCCCTGCTATTCCACCCAATGCTTCTACAACTTCAGCACAGGTGGGAACATTTGTTCAACCCCACACTGAGATTTGTGGGTGATCTTTAGGAAGATACTGTAAGCAGACTTACGTGTGGAGGACACCATGCTGACCACAATGGACGAAGAAGTACTGGAGCTCTGGACCATAACGGTCACCAGAACTCCAATCACCAGTCCCGCAACAGGATTAGACAGCACTGAATCATCTTTAAAAATGTCCCCTGCTGCTTTACCTGCAAGAACATATTCTCAGAGTGAGGGAAGTACAAGGTGAAGTCAATAGGAATTAGCAGAGCATTTAATTAAAGATCATTCAACCATTTAATATGATACATAGGTAGCCATTCTTGCCAGCCAAAAAATGTACAAGGCGATGTAGCCCAGGGAGGGATCCAAATTCAAGTTCTGAACTCCCAGTTTACCAGTTATCAGGCAATATGTTATATTTTCTCATTTCAGTGACTAAACAAGCTATAGTGAACTCTGCAGAGAACTATATAAAACCACCATCAGAAGAAAGACTGTAAAGAAAAAAAACACATATACATAGATTTAAATGCTATTTCTGCCCTAATGGCTTTTGGTTACTGCCTCAAGGAAAGCTAATTTAATAATTTTGAGTAATTCTGCTCCTGTAGCTTTCTGTATTGCCAAAAATCCAGATAATTCTGCAGAAAATCACGTATTTCTTTGATAACTTCTGAATCCATCAGCAGGCTTCAACCTATATTCCAATAGTTTTCATCTTTGAAAGATTTGGGAGACATTTCAGTGCTGAATGCTTTGATCAAGAGAGTAGTTTTGATGTTTCTCCTTGTTGAAATGACTTTCACATGGAACAGATTTATGCTCAGGTGCATTTGTGTAAACTATCACTAAAGTAAAAGGAACCTCCTAAGAAACTGGGGCCAATAATCCCTACATCAACAGCTCTTTGGAATCTGAGAAACAAAGGCCCTTTTTATTGCAGAGGAAAATCAGTTTTCAAGCAGAAATACTTACTTCTGAATCTGTATCTCTACACATAAATCTGTGCATTATGCTCTTGAAGAGTAAAACTTGGGTTTTGTTCACTTGGATGACATTTAATGCCTCATTTGTAGCTTATTCCTGATATTTTAGATGCATTTTCATACCTACCTCCTACCAGTTGAAAAGCTGAGCTCAGTACATCCAGAGAGCACACGAATAAGTAGAGTAATCCAAGCAAGATGATAAACTTTCCTATTCCGTATAGTACACGAATGATTTTTCCTTTTCTATCCAGTTCTGCAAAACAAATACATTATACATAAAAAAACTTATTTATGTTATCTGGTGTTTTCTCCAGAACAGTTTAATGTGCAAGCAGAGACTACAGAGTTAAGTATGGTGTTATGACCCCAGTGTATAATTAAACCCAAAAGAGTGTTCTTAATCCAAATTTTAACTGCAGAAATGGGTAGTTCATTTAGCTTGTTTTACCAGGGAAAAAAAATAAAAAAGCCTTTGGTATAAGATAAATGCCTCATGAAGACCAGGACTGATCCTTGGTTTAACATATTCATCCTACTGAGTAAAGAAGGATCAATAGGACCTTGAAAATAAGATCCTAATGCTTTTGGGTTGTTTTCAATATATTCCCTTGTGTTTTAAGGAGAGTAAGCAGCATGCTCTCCAATTCCTTCTAAGCTGCCTAAATACACTATCCCAATTTCACCACTATGGAAGCTGAGACAAAATGTAAAGCCTACGTCTGAAAACAGTTCAAATCCTAAATTCTGTTCTGCAGCAAATACCATTTCAGAAAACATAACTGATACAAAGTCAGAAAAAGTAATGAAAAAAAAAATGCAGGTAGCTTATTTGCTGAGAAATGTCTACCTGACCACTTGACCCCGGTGTCCTGCAGTTCTGGCAGAGCCCATGGGTCTTCTTCTGGCGTTGTCTCATCTATCAAGGCTATCGTGGAAAATGCAGGTTGAATTTCCCCTTTATTTCCAAGTGAAGTCACGTTGCCTGATGAAATAGAACATTAAAAAAAAAAAAAAGTTTAATTACTTTCCTTCTTCTCCAAGGAGCATCAAGCTTACATATCTCTAACTCAGAGGTGAGAGCACATGTTACCTTTGTGATTTTCTCCTTCTTTTCCAGGCATGTTCTGGTTTTGTTTGGAAGAATCCCCGATATAGTTATTGGTTTCAGGCTTGTCCACCTCAGGCCAAGGAGCCATGATCTGTGACTGATAAAGTAACGCTGATTAAAATGTATGTGAACTCAACATACTCAATTTACAACAAGGAATTTGAGAATATGATTAATTTTAAGAGAAGAAATGGAATAGAAGTAATTTGTCCTTGACCACAGCTTTTTACTAATTTTTATGAACTATTATTTTATTTGTGAAATTGATACCTCATTTACCTTTGAAATCACACAGCTGATTTATTTGTGCAATTTACAAAATTAATAAAAAAAGTCAATCATGTCTATATTTTTGTTCACTTTTTTTCTCAGCTTTCCTAACGTAAACCATTTCTTTAATTCATTTTATCTCCTTTCAGCAAAAAGTCACATCACTGCTTTCCTTTTTTCCACCTTCTAGCTTTAACTGACTACCTTTATCAAACTGAAAATTCATTCTTCCTCAAGGCATAGCCTAGTTTGGGACACGTATGCTTCTTGTTGCCTCTACTGGTTCATTCCCATGGGAGGATGGAGGACTGTGTGACTCTGGACAAGTCGAAGGAAGACACAAACTTCAGAAGGTTCAGAATGGCCCTTGCTGAAGGACCAGACAAGAGCGTTATTAAATGACAGAGGCCATTTGCAGGTCTGTATTTGGAACTCCTGCCACTGACACTGGAAGTGAAGCGGAGCTGGTAGCAGCAGCTGTAGGCTCTCCCATCTCACACAGACTCTGCATGAACTTTTTCCTTCCTGACCCCTTTTGAGGTCAGGCATTTAGCACGTATTTTAATATTATCCAATAATAAGTCAAAAAAATAGAAAATTACATGGCCAATTCCTGCTGGAATAAGTACACGTGGAAGACCAAACCCAGGCCCAAGTAGAGAAGGCAGATGCTTCTTGAACCAAAACCTGGAAGACACAAGCTACTTCGCCAGTATCGGGAGCCAGGGGGAGAGAGATAAAAGAGGGGCAAGGTGACTGGGGGCTCTAACAATACATGATTGTAATTCTTCCCTCCCAGGCTTGTAAGGTGGTTCATTAGCTCAGCCTCTGTGACCCAAAACTCAGTGGAAGGGATGGGAGAGGTGAACACTCCCCAGAAAAGCCTCACCTCGGGGTCTGTCTCTTCAACCCTGTCTACCACACGTGTCAGCCCATGCCACAGGCAAGGCTGTGGCCTGCCTGGTGGCCACCACGTCTCACACCCACATGGCTGGAACAAGGATGAACAAATCTGCCTGCAACACTCCTCATAAACAAGGCACCTGCGCCCAGCCTCCGAGGGTCAGAGTCAGAGCGGGTATCGTGCACCCGTAAACAAGGCTCAACCACGTTTAGCAGCCACTCTCAGGGAGTATAATTAATCGTTTGTTTAATGATAATCATTTATGTAGCTGAAGTTTTGTCCCTGCCCATGTCAACAGCCACACATCCCACTCCTGAGTTCAGCTTTGGCTGGGAAGGAAATGGCACAGAGATAATCACTGATGTCTTCCTGCAACACAGCAGGGCATTGTTTTCTGGTACTTCCCAGATTAGGGATTCCTCCCCTTCCACCTAAGCAAGAAAAGTCATTCTACAATCTCATAGGCAAAAAATATGCTTTCACACAGTTGTTATCAGTGGCATGAGATCCAGTGCAGGTCCTAAGACACACAAAGAAAGATCTCAGAAGAGATGGATGAAAATCACTCTTGCTTGTTTCAACAAGGCTTTCCATCTGCTTGAAGCAAATTCTCATATTTTCATCCATGCCAGAACAACCTCCAAGCCCCACCCATGGCAGAACACCTCAATCTTGTTAAACAAGTTTCATTTATTCATGTTCAGCATTTAAAGAGCTCTGAAAAAAATATATCTGCTCAGCACAAATGCTCCTGAAGTGAAACAGAAGTCGTGAAAATGCACTGGAAATTCAGGTGCAAAGTTGCGTTGATGACATATTCCTGACACAGAGAAGCATGGAATATAGTGAACAGCACCAGCCCGAGAGATGCCATCGGTTCTTCTACAGCTCTTCTGCTCAGCTCAGAGTGGAAATGAAGGATTCAGCCTGCATGGTCACAGTATGGAAGCTGAACTGCTGCATTCACTACAGGAACTGGAGCTTGAAAACTTCAGCAGAAACCAGCCTCTAGTTCTCCTAAATAAACTCTCCCTGTTCAAGAATTCAGCAAGGCATCTTAATAAGCAACACTCATGTTCCTGAGGTGCTCGGGATCCCACAGGTACGTCATTATTGTTTTTGCTTTATGTGATTAAATAGCCTAGAATGAGAATTGAGCACCTCTGTGGCGGAAGTTTTTTTTATAAGTATGTTTATAAAATTATTCATATGAGTCCTAGCCAACCTCTGATTTGGCAAGGTAGACTTGAATACCAAACATCCTAACAGTATTTGCCCCGTGTAGTTGGGTTTGCAGTGGTATTCCTTGAACAGCCAATTCTGAGCGATTGCTATCAGGGACGGGTGAAATCAGAACCACGTAGGTCCTTGAAGTGCTACCAAAACTGTCAGCTTTCTCCAGATCCCAGATCTTGTTAGACGAAGCAGCTGAGAAGATAATTTACAGCCACCTGATACTCCAGTTGTCTGTGTCCTGGCCACAGCTACTTACTGTTAATTAATCGCTGCTGCGAGGATATAGTTTTCCCTTCAGAGAGCTCTTTCTTGCCCTGAATACAGACATTAATATATTGAGTGAAACGTGCAGAGGAAACCCAGATGCTGAGGAGGAGCAGGGTGACAGAGCTGCCCGCATCCCTCCCCAGCCCCTCGGGTTAGCTGCGCCCTTGGAGAGGCTGACGTCAGTCACGGCGTGAAAGACCTGCACCATTTTACGCAAGATATACACGACTACGAAAGCACTAATAGTGGTTTCCTCCTGAGCACTGACGACAGCTGCAAGGGAACATGTCAGGGAGCAGGCAGAGGACGGGCCAGCAGCTGCACAGCCTGCCAGAATGAGCCACGTCCCCCTGGACCCACCGGTCCAGGTCGAAGCAGCCATAGCTGCTGGATGTGGTGCCCAAAGCGAGGGGTGCTGCCGGTCCCTCTGCCAGCCCTGGTGCCTCTGCAACACGTCCTGCTGCTGTGCTAGCTGCTGGGAAGCCTGGCCAGATGCCTGCACCCTGAGCATCCTGTGCTGAAACGGGAGCCTGTTCCCCCCCGAATGTGGCAGGTCACAGTACGCTATGCATATTGCAGAAGCCTGAAAACTAACGCCCGTGCAAGCTGTAATCCAGCCTGCTCCAGCGAGCCCTGCGGCAAACCCTCCCGCGCTGTGGCGCAGCCAGTATAGTCTTTCCTTCGGAAAATGCTAACGGCCTGTGACGTCCCTTCTGACTCCTGGCGAAACGAAAACCTCCCGCTCCTCAGGGGGAGACCAGCGTGAATGAATGGAACCCAAATGCTGGCATAAGATACGAGGGGTATGAAGCTGGACCCATATTTCCCCTCTCACTGCCGCTTCTCAGAGCTGAAGTCCCTGGGGAAGGACAGGAGCGACGCTAGGTGTCACACAGCCACCCCGTATTGCCTTCTCCAGTGACTCACCCAGCTGTAACAACGCTTCCGCTGCTGTGGGGCTGGCTGTCAGTGCTTTTTGCTCTTAAATCAACAGCGGTAGTAAATCTGTTTATTTTGCTGGTCTTAACCTGGAGAATATAAAGTTCCATTTGCACGTGCCCGGATGGTATTGTTTCTACCCCTCCAGCCGTGACCATTCACCGAGAGGGCAGCTTGTGCCTGCAGTGAGAACTACAAGGCTGTAAGCCTTAAATACACCTAACCTCGATGGGAACAGACCCAGCGAAACCACGGCGAAGTAAAATTTCTGGGCGAAAAGGTTTCCCCAGGTTGCTTAAGCAGCTCCAAGTCAAGTTTGGGTTTCTGCCAGACTTTCCCCTCTCCCCTCTCTCCTCTCCCAGATTTTCCACAAATGCATGCCACTTTCTTGTCATGAACCACCATGCTACATCTTATGCTGAAAGGAGATTTACCAGCAGATCCGAGATCCAGCTGTATGAATTAGTAAAGCAAATATTTGCCACACGTGCTTCATAGCAGTAAATACATAGCTAGACTGCAATACTTCTTATGCACAGCTGGAAGAAACAAGAGAACTTTTCCTCAAAATTTCAGACAGAGGCAAATTCTGTCAGGACAGGAAGGGAAAGACTCTTAGCCAGCACAAATTAATTTAGTTGCTTTACATCAGTGACATTTTTGCCCAAGATCCTGGTCCACTGCAGCCATGAAACCCCAACAGAAGAGGCAACAAGTTAAATAAACACCAGCAAGGGTCCAGCCTTGCTCGGGGCAAGTCTTGTGTTTGCTCTGGCACTTCCTTGGGGCTTTTTCTCCGAATACATTAGCAGGCTCAACTAGGATGTAAGCTTTCAACTAAAGTAGCGGCAAATTAAAAAATAGGTGTGTGAAAGCTAGAAAAACAACAATATTGCACTCACTATTTATTCCTATGAATCCCTGAGGCTTATTTATCACAATCCTGAATCTAACACATGGCAAAGCTGAAAAGTAGATAAAACTAACAAAGAAAACTGATGTCTAAGCTAGCGCAGAGAGAAAACTAATCCCAAACATTAACTTCTGCATTCACAACCAAGCAAAGCACCAGACACAGCAACTTTAGAGCCAGAACCAAGAAACCTCAATGAACTGCTTGAAATGCATGGCAGGTATTTAAAAATAATAATTCTTTTCTTTTCTTTTTTTTTTTTTAAGAATAAAACAGCAAAACATGTTTCCAGCAACAAGTTACCCCATCCCGAACACAAAACACACAGTAAAGAATGGAGAGAAGAGAGAATAATGACATTAAAAAGACTTACTGATCTAATGGAAGAGCTGCTAATAAAAGTTACTGGGAAACCAGCTGATTTCTGCCTACTGTCACATTAGTTGAGCTAACTACATTAGACTAATGTATTCCTTCTACCTCGGTGTATCAAACTGAATTAGCATAAGAAAATGTTTCCATCGAGAACAGCCTGGCACTGCCTTGTGCAGCACCCAGACCTTACGGGCTATCTATGCTAACACGACTGACAGTATTTCCTTCCAATGTTTCATTAATCGTATCCCGGACATTTTCCAGTATCCAGTACCACCGTGACTTAAAATCTCACTGCTTTTCAATCCAAATAAGTGTTAAAACAATAACACCTTATGTTATAGGCAGTTATTTATTTCTGGTTTTGTACTTTTGACAGCTGCTGATACAGTGTTTTGTTTTTTACCTTTCCCATATTCCATTAACAAGAAACTAGTTACTTTCAAACAAAAACTAGCAGAGTTCATTTTTAGAACTATGATTTTTTAATCCTTTCCTCAAAACACAAACTCAGCTGAAAGCACACAAGCTGCAAACACAACTGGCTGACATTTCACATGCCACTCCAGTTCCCTGCACTACCTCTCTGCTGCCTTTCCTCGAGCTGCGAGAGCAGAGCTTTTGATTTACGAGCTAATTAAGTTTTTTTTAAAAAAAAAAGAAGAAGAAGAAAAAAAAACCACCCTTAGTCTTAGCTGTTTTTACTTACCACTTCTTTCTTCCCAGGCAACAGAGCGAACGGATCAACTGGGCAGCCACTGCAACCTGCAATATATATAGACAGGTGTTGAGCAAAGTTTGCTTTCATCACTACGCACTAACATTCCTATTTTACAGTCCGGAGGCACTGCCTACCTGCAACTTAATGATCACAATCAACCTTTTTTTAGCAGGAGTGGGCAGCACCCGGGAGTGATAAAACCACAGGCTATTTCACACTTATCACATTCTAAAAAACGTCCCATCAGCATTTAAGTAGGAGTTGCTAATGTGTTCATGTGAGTGCTACGGGACGGTTTATTCCAGCCTGAGAAATCGCAGCCTGCCTGATCATTCAGCAATCTTTTTTTTTTTCCAATAATAATTTTCAAACAATATTTTGTGATCTCAAAAGCCCGTCAAGAGGGTGCGAAGAAGCAGTAGTACTGTTATTTGTCTGTCCGGGCGCCTATTAATCTGCCTAAGGACAGCAGCAAGGAAGAATCAGATAAAACGCGGTGTAAGTAGGAAACACGTAAGAACTTCTTTGAGAAGAGAGGATGGAGTTTCCTTCTTATCAGTGCTCCGTGTTTACAATTAAGGAGAACTCATTAGCATTTTGGCTGCGGTTCTCTTTCTAAATGAGATTTAAAGATGTAAGGACACGTTTGATAATTGCATTCAGAATGCTATCAAGGAAGAAGACTGTGATAAAGGGGTATGTTATCCAATAAATACAGTAAGCTATTACAGATTAGGCACAGAAGTCGCTGGCATCACTACCTGTTTTACTGGTAATTTTAACGGGGAGCTTGAAGGGCTGCATTTGACACCTTTTGAATTTTTACTGTCTCAACAGGCGACCAGGAAAATAAGCTGTAAAACAACAATTTGATCAGCAGATCTGCTTCATCTGCATGTTCACAGCCATATCTCCCTGCGACCTAGTGACTTATAGCTCAGTGAGAAAAATAAAACTCTTGCTTCTTGTACCTTTCAACCTGGTAGAGATATGCAGCCTGTGGTGCTGGGAGCCAGAACTAGGTCTCCACCTGCATCAGTGTCAGAGATGTTTAATGAGTGCTGGTTGTGGAGCCTCCACAGCTCCATCTGCAGAACCACCGAGCTCCTGCCATGGACCTGCTGGTGTAAAGCCAACCACCACCATGGCCCTGACTAGGGGTGATGATGGAGACAAGGAGACCTGAAAACAGCCTAAAGAGGAAAGAAGGGATAGGAAACAGCCCCAAGGTCCATTTGCTCAGGCTCAGTTTCCTTAATGGAAATGTACTTTAACATCACCTTTAAAAATAGCCGGTTCTAAGTGATGCCCTGCATGTCGGAAGTCAGACGAAGCTTTTAACTGGGAAAACTTTGTGTTTCTGTGAGTTGTGGTTTATTAAATCCTGAGTCACTGTTTGTGAAACCCGGCTCTGACGGTGAGCAGTGACGAGGTGCCCAGCTGGGGCTCGGCCGGTGCGTGGTGACGTCTCCGACAGCATTTTTATTCCGACGCTCTTCAGTCTATTTGCTAAGCACAGTCCAATGCACTGACCACGCTCATGCTTTAGGCAGGGATCAGACCCATTGTGTTCCCCCAAAAATACTTTCGGAAAGAAGAACACAGCCACTTACGGAGAGGCAGGCAATCTAGAGGCTGTCTTTGGCAGTCCGGGGCAGATTTTCTATAGTCATTGTGGAACAGCCTCCATAAGCAGCTGCAAGGGATGAAGGTGGGTCTTAGTTATCCCAGAAGCCTTTCCCTTGTTCAGGATAGGCTGAAACTTCCCAAGACACCAGGCTATAGCCCAGTGCACTAACTTTGCGTGCTTCAGGAACAGATTCAAGAGAAGATGCTACTGAGGAAGACTAACCCAACGCTCCTTTCTCCCCCCTTTAGGGTTTGCTTGGAAACAACTGACCTAATGTCAGAAAATATTCCTGAATAGGGAACATTTAATAAAATAAAACAAACAAGCGAATTTCCTGTCACAAAGGTGCTGGATTACTCCGCAGGACCTGGGATCAGTCTATGTATCAGCCTAAAGCCCACATGAGACAGTTCTGGGTTGCACAGAAAATGTCTCAAACACAGAAGGAGAAAAAATTTCTGGCATGTGCAAATCCTGTGAGAGCTGAACTCTGTCCAGGCACTGTTATGTGTTGCAAGAAGCTATAACACAGGAGAGAAACACGTCTGCATAACAGGCATCTGTGCTACAGGTTCCCTCGTGGCCTGCTCACACAAACGGGAGGCTTGCTGGAAGGTGTCAACCCCGTTCAGATTCAAGAACCAGGCCCTGGTACAGCAAACCAAGTGTACCTAAGTCACAACTCAAATCCAGGTAAGTTAAGGTAGGTAGCAGAAAGCTGTCCTGCAAAGGTGTCAGAGCAGCTGGGGTGTTTCCACTACCAGTAACATGCACCCAGCTGGGCTGACTCTTTCAGTTGGCTCTTCCAAAGGGCAGCAGGCATGGGCGAGGCTCTCAGCTGAGATCAGGACATAAAGCATTTCTCTTACAGTTGAATTTGATTTTCAGTGTTCCATAGATCCAAAGAACACATTGCTAAACATTCACTGGGTATTCAGGATGCTGGGAAACTAGAAAACCACTATGTGGCTCTGCTGAAGAGAACAGGCATTAGGAAACAACATTGTCCATTTTAACCTGTTCAGAAGCATGGAACAAAGGGGGCTATCTGCACTTGGGAGCTGCACTCGTTTGAATTAGCCTTTCCTCTTGCAGTTATGTAAAACCACAAAGCACTGACCAATGAAGACAGAGATCAGTGCTGATTTCAATGTGAAGTACAGCCACAACAGCTGTTTGGGTAAGGACTTGCCCCTACTCAGCTGAAGAGCACCTTCTCGCATTGCGCAGCTACTTGCAAGAGCTTAAGCTCTGGCTTTCTCTATTGTCTGAAAAGTATTCAACATGTAAACATTTTAACAATGCAGTTCATTAATGGAAAAGCCCAGTCAGATATTCACTGTGATTATTAAATTCCACATTGAAGTACAGCTGGGTATTTTCTCGTAATCAATGTTTGTAACAGCCTCTGTTCCTGGCATTACATAGGATGTCTTGATTTACAAAAAGAATGCAAACTTTTTATTTTATTTTATTTTTTAGTTGATTACCTCATTCATATTCCACTAGGAAGTGTAAATTTGTCTTTAAAACTTCAATGCCTACCAGGAAATCATCTGGTGGGCATAGGTGCAATGCAACCTGAGGACATTTATTTTTGCTCAAAGTTTCTACCGTAGTAAGAAATAGTAAAGAACTTACAAGGCAGCTTTGACAGCAATAAGAAACCACCTGACTGAATGTATAAAGAGTCTGAATCCTATCACAAGGTTCTTCATTACAATACCGTGCAGTTCATTGCCTCTCACATTAATGATATGCAAAAGCACTAATGGAGTTATTGTAGTTAACATACTTCAGGAGCTGAGTAATGAGTAAAGTCATAAAGAGGCAGCAGTCAACAGAGTCAGTGCCAGGAATGGGAGGGCGAAATAAAATGCAAAATGAAGGAGTCACAAAGAGAAAAACTACAGAAGAGGCTTTCATATAAAAAAAAAGGAAAAGAAGTGTTTCAATACAGGACAGTTTTTATGAAGGACTAACATGGCCAACAATTTTAGACAAAGTGATGAGTCTGAAAGGAAAGAGGGACCTGGTTTTGTAGTAATTGAGCAGACCCTTCACTATAGAACCAGTTTTTTTCTCATTACAACATGCTTCAAATATTTTAGTCGGTACAAATGCATCCTTGGGAGACAGGCTAGTGGGTTTGTTGTTCACATCCTCCATGATAGTTGTTTTTCCATCAAGGGCAGAAATAACAATTGTTTTTATTCTTGTTGGAGACCCTAAATACATCCTACCCTCTCCAGAGAAGCACAACAACAGACAAAATGGTACAGACACAAATACGGCAAAACAGCATCAGCACAAGCTTGAATTTGATTTTAGTCAGAATGTTAAAATATTAATTGTATCAACCACTTTGAAAACTAAAACCCAGATACATTAAAAAATATCATAGCAGTTCTGAACTGTTACCGTTTGTCTTGAAAATTTAATTAAAAAATTGAGAAATGCACATTAAAAAAAAAAAAATAAACAGAAAAACTCCAGAACAAAGATCTGCTGAGTTCTTTAGGGTAAGAAATTTTTAATCACAAAAGAAACCCAATATTATTCCCCTCCTGCTAACCTTTCCTTACCCTTTTTATACTCTCACCCCTACCCCACGTCCCCCCCTCTTTCCCCCTCCTGTTCACTCTCTCAGCCAATCTTGTATCCCACATCCTCCTGTTGCCTCCCATTTTGGACACATATTAATGAATGCAAATAGCATCTTCCCAGCCAACAAGTAATGGGGAGGAGGAAGAAGAGAAGAAGTGAAGGGAAATGTGAGAGCTCTTAAATAAATAATAATATTTACACTCTTATGTAAACCTTAATTTACAGATCTCAAAGTGCTTCAGGAAAGTAGGTATTGTTAGCTCCTTTATTATTCAAAGACAGTTCAAAGACTCATTTCTTTTTTCTATTTTTTTTGAAATCCATTGTTTTCTTCCTACACAATTTGTTAACCCTTGGCTGACACTGGACGTGGTGTTGCGGGTAGCAGGATGAGCCAGCATAATTACCAGGCAGCCAGCCCAGTGTGTTTACACTGCCGAGGAGACTCATCTCACATTCCCAGCCTGTCCACTTCTGCTGGCCGGCCCGCTGGCCTCCACGTGCCACTCACAGGCAGCTTGCCGCTTACCATGGCCACGCTTATTTGGCTTCTACCTAAATGACCTCTGCCTAAAAGGTTGATTTGAGAGCGCCTTAGCATGAGGATTTTTGTTAAAGTAAATATTCTTCCACGAAGATGCTACTCTTTCAAAAGGCACTAATTCTGTATTGGAATTGCACATTTCAAATACAGTATAAGCACCTCAAATTCCAGCTTAGAAATTGAAATTATTTTTTTTTTTTATCAGTGTTTTGTTACTTATGTTTTGTTACTTATTACTGCAAAATGCTTGGCAATATCTCTTTCAAAATTTTTGTCCCTGAGATGGTTTTTAGACAACTCAGCTCTGGTTGAGTTACTGAACGTGACCTGT